ATATATAATTTTTGCAAATTGAAGTCCCACTATTAATAGATCTATTTTTACAGCTCCAACTTCCTCGCTTGTGGAAACCTTTTGCAGTTTGCTTTACCTAAGGCGTAATAGTTGACTGGTTTTCGCCCCGAGAGAAAGGCCTGGGGACTCTCGGAGAGCGACCTTCCGAGGGATGGACCGCTTCCACTTGGACAAAGTAGCGATCGATCGGCAAAATAGTTTTAACTAGTCGCCATATAACGAGTTTTGTATGGGAGGGACGGCAAATTAACGAGATTAGTATCCGGTGTTTTCAAGTCCCGCAATAGACCCTACATTTCCCAGCCACTTCAATTTCACGGTTTTTCTTCTTGAAAAGGGTCCCCTGCCAATAAATGCATAGGACAACGCGTGTATACATACCGCTGGAATGGTGAGAGGGTGGCTTAAGGAACATGAGATCGATATCGGGGATTAGCCTCTATTATTTATTGCCCGATACGAGCCCTATTGAGTGCTAACAATGTTTATTGAGAGTTAACCTTTTAAAGCCATACCCTAGGTCGGTTGGACTGAGTAGGAGTGAGGCGTATTCGGCCTGTTCAAGCGAGCGACATGCACTATTTAGGATACACTAGATCAAGATCTAATTGGCCACATCTATCTACCCCTGGGAGATTGCTTGCTACGCATAATTAAAAGACCCTATGCGAAATTATAAAATCATTGCACTGCGAACCCATCTATATCATATAATTGTTTACTGCAACATGTACCGGTGGTGTCGAAACCCACCATCGCAGGACCTAGCATCGCGGAGTATTGTCTGTGCTTAGGCAGTGGGAGAGGAACGTTGCTATGAAAGCCGGGTATCCATCGAATGCGGTCCGGTCATGATCTCTATATATTAGATTGGACAGGCAAAATGCAAAAAAAGAATGGGACGAGCCGGGATCGAACCAGCGACCTTGCGAACTTCAATCGCACGCTCTCCCAACTGAGCTATCGTCCCATTTGGGATGCAAAGTTTCATCAAGTGTAATAATTAAGGACGGACATTATCATTAAGTCGTTTTCCCCATATGCGGAGTTTAAAATGGCATCCACGAATGCAGGAGATAACCATGTAAGACCTTGAGGGCATAGATGACTTTAAGAGATGCAGCCCATAAATATTTACATTTGACGGCCTACTATGCCAACCATAGTTCAGGTGGTCTCTTTTGAGGCTGAGGGAACGTTGACTTCTTCCCGATTGTATCTGCAAATCGGAACTAATGAGGCGAGGTACTACGTCCTTGTATGGTATAGTTACTATAAGCCCTTGATAAAAAAAAATATGATAAAATTGGCGGAAAAGCTGCGCTATCACTTCATAGCTGAAATAAGCTGATGTAACTACCAAAAATGTGACTATGGACCTTGTGGTGCACTAACAACTGTGTGTTCTCTCTATTTCCCACCGTTTGCTTGGGACGCTATTGCCGCTTGTGTGGCCTATGGACACTATTGATCGGTAGATAAGTAATTGTTGCCGTGGGTTTTAATTCTCTACGTGTTTGTGTGTCCCCATGTGAACTGACAAGTCAACTATATATTTCGACATGTGAATTTGAGGACAAGCCCTAAGCATGGGTAAAACACAAGCAATCTCGTAACTATTCAATATTTCGCTTATACAGACACAAATAGTCAACACGCATAATATGATACGAATGAAAACAACACAGAATCTAGAATGGACTGTAAAAGATTCAATGCGTTGTACCCGGCAAGCTTGAAAACCGGAAGCGACAATATTTGCAATAAGAACGTAAAACACCTGGGTTCAAGTTCTCAGGAGAAGAACTATATAAGGCACCCATGGTGTTATTTTGTTCAATTGTTGGGTTTTCTTAAGACTCCAACCATCGTAAAAGCTCTAAATTATTCGTAGGCTTCGACTGCAAGGACAGATTCAGGGCTATATTCTTTCATAGTGAGTGTGACATCATCCCAAATGGGACGATAGCTCAGTTGGGAGAGCGTGCGATTGAAGTTCGCAAGGTCGCTGGTTCGATCCCGGCTCGTCCCATTCTTTTTGCATTTTCTTTTGCAACTCGGACTGTCACTGCACGGTGTTGGGGTAACACAAATCCCGATACAGTTGTGTACCCTTTTCTGTGTCAGACTAACCTATAATAGAAAGGGACGTACGGTGTCCACAATCAGTGCAATTCATATCTCTTAACTATAAGATCAAATACACCGGAGATAAGTAAAGACCGAGGATCCAAGCAACTCCAAAATTGAAAGAGGCCGATCGGTTCTATTAGAAGATCCTACATTGATGTATGTAGTAGATTAAAAAGCTGCACCTCTGAGGCCCTTCTCAACTATATCATATGCCATAAGAGGAGCCCGATAAAGAATGAAACTCTGATGTTATATCGTATTCTGCTGCCACATTCATCCCCATAAGGGTCAATGCAGAATCTAGGGATGTAGGATTTAGACTACATTGAAGGCGCAAACCCGATTCCGTAGCGGAAGACACTATTCTTAGCAAGCCAGAATGTATGGTAAGGTTAGGGTTAAAGTTATAGTTCATGAAAACTAACTGGGACCCTCAAACAGAAGCGGGAGAGAAGACGTCTAAAAGACAACTAAAGAGACACGACAAGGCCGACTATTCTTGTCATTTCTTAAGGTTGGTGCTGGGTATATAATTTCCTTTTTTTAGAAAATGCGATCATCGATACCTTTATAATTCCCCGATCAGTGCAATATGATAGTAAAAGGTACATACTGATCTGAAGGAATTTGTAGTAGACTAGAATTGCATGGACTGTGCGATCTAACTGATCATCTACATAGATTGTGCTGGTGTGAACGCAAGAAATAGAATTTAATTTATGTTGTCAATTTCTGGTTCGACCTGCATCCCAAATGGGACGATAGCTCAGTTGGGAGAGCGTGCGATTGAAGTTCGCAAGGTCGCCGGTTCGATCCCGGCTCGTCCCATTCCTTTTTTTGTCATTTTTCGCTGCCTAATCCTTGCTTGGAACATCACCCATCAAGTGGGGGGGGGGGACGGCTCAGTTGCGAAGTGCCCTGGCGATTGAAGTTCACCCCAATCACATCCTTGCCGGTTCGCCGAGGCGTGCCCCTTTGTCTTATTTTGTGCCTTTTCGTATCAGACAGACCGTCTTCCATCATACCTGGTGATAGTCACGGTTGGCGGAGACTGCGTTTCTTTATTTACCCCCAGTTTATATAGTAGTACAATTAGCTCTAGACGCAAGGTGCTGAATACATTTAGTCCCTAACTTTGCGGGCCGTAAAAAAAACCTTCTTTCTGTAGTGGTGAGAGACCGCTTTGAACGTCTTAAGCGCTTTGTACAAGAATAACTATCTGATCGGAGAGAAAACCCCGGACAGCTGTGTTTATGCCATTATAGTAGGAGTCGAAGAAGAGGGAGTAAAGAAGATAACATTAGTTCGGCAGGAAGTCTAGTATCCGGAATCTTAGCAAGACCGCATCCTCATAGCTATATGGATGCAACCCCGGAAGATGCCCTTGGAAGGAGCAACTCTACCAGGAGCATTTTCGAGCGAAGTTGCACAGAGCAAGTTTCGGGCAGTAGCTTCACTGATGGCTTCATCTACCGGTGTGTGCTCCGGGCCTATCTCCTGTGTTGTATGACCGGCTGATGACCCCCCCACGTGCGAATATCAATGTGTCTCTATCAACCTTCGTGCGATAGGTGGATTTAGTGAAACGAGGCCGTGTATCACTGAATGGCTCGATATGTGAATATAAGCTGTGGTTAGGAGTGAGCCAACTGGAAGTAATAATTAAAACCTCATGTTGAGAGCGCGCAGGTCGAGATAATGCATTCGCAGCAAACTAAGCTGATATTTAGGTATTCGAGTTCTCTAAGGCCTGTGATTGCTTCTGACTGAAATGAGGGGGGGGGGTAACCTAGTCTTGCGGGTGAGACTGAGGGCCTGCGAATAGAAGACAACCCACTTTGGCCAGTCCCCTCTTGAGATGTCCCTGGATCAACACTTCCATGTTGGAGCTGAAGGTGGCAGTGGATCGGAAGAAGAAAGGAGCTCTGATCCAACAATTGTTACACCTGGGCAGCAGACTTTAAATGACGCGAGTTGTGCTCGACATGCGGGTGGCTCGTGGCCTCAAACACCAAATTAATAACCGAATGATGGGACTTGTTTGTGAAGATCGTTCTTCTGATGTGACACATCACTCATTCAATTGCCTGAGGCAGATGGAATCCTGGATGAAAGATGAGATTTTGTACGCCTCAACAAAGAGCTGCTTATAATTTAGTCAGTGCTGCATTGGTTGATTTTCTGCGTGAAACCCTGTACTGGTGACTGGAAAACTTTATGCACAAGGTACATACGAATGGCTGTTCCTGGTACACGTTTTAGCAAAACTCATCAGGCGAATAAGGGGTCCCCAAACCCAGTGAACATTCGCAAATCAATTCGCATTTCAGAAGCCCAACCCGGCTTAGTTTGTGGTTTGGCAAGTAGGTGAGACTGGAGAGAAAATCTAATGATATCCGTGGCCCAGGGGGTTGGGGCTAATTTGTTTTGACTTCTTTTGGTTGATTAGGAGCTAATTTTACTCGGGGGCCCGATAGTTTTGGTCACAAGGCAATGGCAGATTATTCCAAGGTGACTATCGAATCCGATCGTCCATCCGTGGATGCAATTGGCCCCTTCGATCGTATATCATCCAGCCACAATGTACATATGCTGATTTTATGGTGATATCTAGTGCAGCGCTTAGTCAATGTGGAGAAACCAACACAGGATCGATTTGAGCGCTTTCTTGATTGGATTCCTTGAAAAAGCAAAATTTATCGAGTGTAACTGATCAGATTCTTGCTGACCGGCCATCCCCTCATTTTGCTCTTCGTGGCCTCCCTACTTTCTTAGAAACACTTTCACCACAGCTTTCCAAATATTTCATTTCGACATACTATACCACAGCCCCTCAATTAGCCGCTATGGCACCCCGTTTGTTGAACAAGATATGTCTCATCACCGGTACAGGCGGTAGCATGGGACGTGCAGCAGCCCTCAAGTTTGCTCAAGAAGGTGCTAAAATCGTCGGCTGTGATATAAATACCGTTACCGATGCAGCAACTATCGAAGCCGTACGGGGGCTAGGTGGTGAAATGATATCCATGTCTTCATGCGATCTTACAAAACGTGAAAACTGCGAGCAACTTGTCGATCTAGCCATAAGAACCTATGGACGCATCGATGTGCTGTACAATAATGCGGGAATAGTTCATATGAGCTGGCTCGACGACGGCAAGGATGATGACTGGTACAAAACAATTGACCAGGAGTTAAGCCTCGTCTACCTGTTGACTCGTGTTGCATGGCCGTACCTGAAGGAGTCCGGTGCCTCCATTATCAACGTTGGCTCTGCCAACGGTTGGATTGCGATTCGTTCAGTGCCTGGTATCGCCCACACAGCTGCGAAAGCTGGGGTTATTTCCATGACACGCCAATTGGCCATGGAAGGGCGTGCGCACGGTATCCGGGCCAATTCGATCTCACCAGGTCTTATCCAGACTCTGCAAACCACGTCTTTGCTTGAGAACCCTGAATGGGCCTCAGAAATGACACAGAAGATCATGGTTGGCCGCATCGGTCAGCCAGAAGAGATTGCGGCTGTTGCTAGCTTTCTTGCTTCAGATGAGAGCTCCTATATCACTGCTGCAGACATTCGGGTCGATGGTGGTATGACAGCCTGGTAGTGGAGTTATGCACACAGAACATAGGCACTTATAATTTGGTAACTGGCGATTGAGATCAATGCATATCATATCAAATGGTGTTCATCTTTGTGTTGGCCCCGATCTATACTTTCTTAGAGTTGACCCGGAAGGTTTCTCTATTGGCTACAACATCCCCACTGGGACAAGCGCTTGGAACACAGCTCATCTGTTCTTATGCTGTGTATGCCTATGTGTGCAGCTCTTTCCGATGTTCTTGAGCTTCGCGAGTTGTTCGAGTCTCCCGAGCGGGCCGCGATCTCACTCAGAAACCTCATCACCGGTGTGGGTTAGCGACTTCACCTGGCCCGGGGGTAACAGTGCCTCTGATTTGTAATCTGTCAAAAACCTCAAATACGGCCTCCCTAGGCCATAAACAGGAACCTTGGTTTTTGTTATGGTCTAGTGGAAAGTACGCTGTATTTCGTTCAACATAATCCAACCACAACTGGGCCGTACAACGTACTCAATTTGACCACCTCATCGTGCGCCTATGAAAGGTGTGCATATAGCCTTGCAGATTGATGCAAAGAATTCTCTTTTTCGCTGTTAAATATCTCCCAAGATGAATATATCCGGAAGATAGTTAAGCCGACATAGTTCCCTGCAATCTGGCAGCACAAGGTGCTCTTATGCTAGACAGTCGTTGTATAGAATGTCAGACCCCATCAAGTTCATGAGACTTGCAAGTCAGTAAAGCTCCTTTTTTGAATTACCTTAGTCGGGCTAACCAGAAGCCAGGTCCCAATGAACGCCGTACGATTAGTCGCGAAGATGTTGGCTATTACAACGCGCTCGTCATAGCAGCAGTCTATGAAATTGCGAGCGAACATGTAGACGTTAGCACCACCCAGTCATTTCTTGCACCTTTGAGACAATGCATCGGGAAGTACCCATACTTAAACGTGGTCGTCAAGGACAAGCATACCGAGAAGCCAGCATATGAAGCGGTTTCTAGCATTGATCTCCACGATCATGTGTTTATAATCCACGAAGACGAAGCCAGTAACAATGGCGAGACAGCAAAAATGGAGAAGATTCTGCCAGCCATACTCGACCGGCCATGGCCTGCTGATATCCCACCTTGGCGAATTGTGGTCCTCCCTTTGGTGTCACCACAAGACTCCACAGCGAAGCGATGCTTTGTCGCTTTCGCGTTTTCCCATGCTCTCGGCGACGGCATGGTGGGAGTTGCATTCCACCGCACCTTCCTAGATGCATGGCGCCAGACTACTAGCGTGGACAAGAATGCCTCTTTCTTAGTGACACCGCCAAGTCAAACGCTCCCGGAACCCTTTGACACACCTGAAAGGCTCCCCATATCCTGGAAATTCCTCCTTGAGCCACTGATAGCAGTTTACTTGCCAAAGTTTGTGGCCAAACTTTTTGGGCTCCGTGCATCTGCCAGCACCCTAGATGCCGGTACTTGGATTGGGTCACCCATGTTCTTCGATCCGGCAGCTGCCCTCCAGAGTAGAGTAAGGCTCCTTGAGATTGAGGCCCCGCTAGTCCAAAAGGCCCTGCAAACGTCAAGAAGCCATGGCTCCAAGCTCACGGCAACGGTGCATCAGATGGTCGTTCGCGCGCTAAGCAGAGCCATTCACAGCACCGACGTCACCAATTTTGTCTCGGGGACACCTGTTGATATGCGAGCGTCCATTGGGACGCCAGGTCTCACATGGGGTCTTTTCGTATCTGGCTATTACGACGTACATCCACGGGTACCGAATGCGAAAGAGCCTGGTTTGTCCGAGGAGAGGTGGACAGCCGCGAGTTTGATGACGCAAAAGCTCGCTGAATGTGGTGCGAGGCTGCAAGATCAAGCCATTGGCCTGCTGAGATATGTCCCCAGCATCCGGAATTGGACATTGAGTAAAATTGGACAGAAACGGGACTCTTCATACGAACTGAGCAACTTGCTTGCTTTCGACAACACGGGTGACGGTACAGATCAAAAGTGCAAGGTCAGCAAGATGGTGTTCTCGCAGCCTGGCAATGTTACTAGCGCACCACTGGTTTTCAATATCATCAGTGTCAAAGGGGGTAGCTTGATGTGCACAGTGAGTTGGCAAGCTGGAGCCTTAGGTGTGCCGGTAGAGGAGGAAATGTCCTTGGTTGATGATATATGCTCATCAATTCGTGCGGACTTTGAAGCCCTGACTGATTAATGTTCCACCCAGCCAACCCACGGCCCTTTGTTCATATTCTTAAACTTGTTCAATGTAAACAGTTGTTGATAATTCTGCCTCAGGCTGAAAGAATCTCCGCTTCTTCATGACTGATCTATGGTCCTTTTCTCTCACCAGCTTAGTCTGATCCAGAATCTTAATTGCCTCTCACCTGTTCTCGAGATCCTGAGCCATTTGGTCGTATCCACTCGATCTTCTGAGCACATTTGTGTTGAATAGCTAAGCAGGGGGAATAAGCTGCTGGGGCTCGTTACCATGGGGGGAAGATCTCGTCGTATCGCGAGCATCACTTTATGCAAAACTTCAACTTCAATGCGATACCACATGCAAACTTCGGCCAAGCATCTGACGAGCTTGCTGTCTTCCCCCACAATTTCGACCTCTCTCGTCGTTACACGAAGACTAATACACACACACTCGTGAACGGACACGCGTAGGTTTCCAGGCAGAATAGCGGTTAATAACAGCCCTATCACAGGAGTTATATTGTGACGCAGTTAGGACGAGACGCCAGCAACGTTTGGTGCGCGTCATTCCCTTGGCCACACACCGTGCATAGAAAGACCAATCGGTTACTTCTAGCACCACGCGCACAAGGGGCGAGGATGGACAACCAAAAAAAATTCAGAAAATCTATTACGTGCGACGTTTCCTTTCATCACCGGACTTTATGCGGGAGGGCTGAGAAGAATAACGCAAGGGCTAGTTCATTTGAGGTTGAACAGCTAACAAGACACATTCGGCATCACTATTCTTCGTACCGAGATGACGAAAGCTTTCTGAGACATCTGATAGATCAAAATCTTTTGAATAATGGCCGTAAGGCTACAATTTGACCCTGTCCTCTCACAGCCGGACCCTCCTGCTTTCCCTCGAACCCATCTTGTTTCAATAGACACAACCAAATCATTGGGAGATCTTGTGCGCAGTAAAACTTCTACATATGGTTGTGCTCCGGAAGGAAAGTTTATGGCCCTGTGCCATCTCGCACACTCAGTGATAGTTTACATTCAGGGAGGTCAGCCAATTTTTATGCTGAGGATGATGGATCCCAACCTTCCCAAGAGATGACCGCGCGACCACCCGATATGGCTAAATCATTCAGGAAGGAATGGTTGGCTCTGTTATTTGGGACCTCCATTCATGTAAATCCCTTCTAGCAGTTGTTTCCAAACTTTGGTCACGACATACGAATGCGTAGATGTCCTACAGCAAAGTCCCCTAATCGAACAAGTCGGTCATGATATCCTACACCTACTAGATTTCTAGGTTTTTCGTCCTAGTCATCTGCTAATTCAAGAGTCTGTGTAAGTGACCGACCATCCAGCTTTTGTACAGATAACCGACCCGCTATGAGTCTATAGAAACTCTTCCCAGGGGTTGATGTAAGGATCAAAGCATTCCGGAGTGCAAGGTGACGAAAAATTGAGCGGTGACGCATCGGTGAATCCACCAAACCAATTGAAGTCATGTCCCATGGACTAAGCTCCTAGCATACTTCCCTTCGTATGTCTGACGTATTAACAAGACGTGTGGTTTCAAAGCAGGCGAAGAGCGGAGTGACCGACATGAATGAGATCATCTCCCGCAGCTGTTGCAGGGTTATTGACTTGTTTATCTTTAGGTCTGGAACGGGCCGAGGCCCGAGGCCCAACGGCATGCCGTTGGCTTTTAAACATCTTCAGTAGGACTTTTACTTGCATGCAACGTAGAGTGCACCGTGTACCCGTAGATATGCAACGGGTGACGTTTTTCAAGTGAACCGCTACCCAATGGCAATGCTAATCCACAGTTGGGTAACGAGTCAGAATTGTGACACGTCGGATGGATCAATCCTATCTTATATCATACCGAAGAAAGAGTGTCAAGCGAATCACTTGTCTTCGCCAACTACACCGCTCCATGGGTAGCTACTGACCCAATGTGATACATCGAGATCCCCTCACTTCAGCACCTTTACGCATTGCATTGTTCACTGATGCGGGGCTACCATCAGTTGTGCAAGTTTGACGACCGTGGAGCTGCTCAATTGTCCAGTAATGTCAGAGGTCATGGGAATACCCACACATTTGTTTCGAAACTTCATCCGAGACAGTGAGATATTTAAGTCAAGTCTGAGCTGCTCCAGAGTCGTCAATCTCTGCTTTCACTGGAAAACAGACCAAAAGGAGAGACCCAAAAAACCTCTCCAACAAAGAACTTTTCCTTATCAAAAATTGTCATGTCTAATGAACTTCAAGAAGCATTTGACGAACTGGTCTTGGGGACCAGCGCTCTAGAGGCTTTCCCCTTTGATGACTTTGCGAACCGACTGCATAACAAAGTCCGAGCATGTATTGGAACAGAAAATAACAGCGATGCAGTACAGAAATATATCGAAAGGGCGCCAAATTATCCCCCCGAAGACTCTGATTCCGACAGTTCTCGTCTCGATGGATTCGAGGCATACGATCTTCTTTACCGACTGTCGTTGCCAGCGGCGAGTCACGGAATTGCCAGTGTTGATGGTAGTCTCGACTCCGACAACTTGAGGCGTTTTATTAGCGCAGTAAGCTTATCCTTCCTTTCCAAATTCTACCAGAGAAAGCGGCTAATGGGAGCAGGACAACTCAAAGCTTCGCTATCTCGAGTCTTTGACAAATCTGATGAGCTTCTGTCTTGGGGAACATGTCGACTTTCAGCTCAGGTCTCAGGGTAAACGTGACCTGAACGAACTCTATCATATAGATGGGTTCAAAGAGTATGTGCTGGAACAAATCGTAACCGACGAGTTTATCACCAATGAGATACGAAGAGATATTGCGAGGGGTAATCATCTTTTCAGCATTGTGTGGCTCCTGCTCGCGGATTACTTTGAAAATAGGGAATTTGCCTTTCGCAATTCCCCTGCCTCGGGACCTGACTTTGAAAACAAAGCGAGTCACAAAACTCTCAGTCGATGGTCTTATACTCTGTGGGCTACGGAGGGCAAAGGAAACCCTGACAGAATGGATGAGGTGGTGACGTTCTGTGGGAAAGTGGCCACGATCAGCATTTGTCCTCCAAACTCCACAACTGGCTTGCAGCGCCCGACATCTGTCACAACAGTAATGAAGTCGTTTTATAGCCAGGGTATGAAGGCCCCCAGAGATGATGCATATACAAAGGAATTGCAAAACAGCTTGGATCGACTCTCGGACAATGAAGAGATCATCAACGAGTGGAAGTCTTATTGTGACACCCTTGCAAGTAGCTGGGAGATTCAAGTTCGACACTACTGGAACAAAGCATTCTTCCACCTCTTCCAGGAGGGGCAGTCTCGTGAAGTCAAGTTTTGGATAGCTACCGGTAAGTTGCGCCTGAGCGCAGTGCTGCGTGTTGCGTTTGCGTTTGCGCCTGTGAGAGTGTAGACTTCTAACTGTCGATATAGCATCCGATGCCCAGTGGAATTTGTATTTGTGGGATAGTTATCTGCCTGTGCTGGGCAATCCATATGACAAGCGGAGTATTAGAACCCCGGGTTGTCATATTCTTCCGGGGACTCTAATTACGTTCTCCGATGGTGAATCGCGAATGGTGGAGGATGTCTCTCCCGCTCATCGAATCTTGACCCAAGTAAATCCGAACAAGTCTGCTACAGCCGTTGCTTATCCTGTTGATCAGCCAGTGAAGACAAAATTGATGAGACTCAGTGAGTTTTTTTCACCCAAAAGAGGAAACATGGAAAACTTTCACTGACTCAAATTTATCCAGACGGAGAGGGCTCCTTCTTTCCAAGCTCGCAGGTTTTTCATACGCCTACTGGGCTGCGGGCAGCAGATCCCGAGGCTGCGCAGATTTTGAATCCATTCCAACGAATCGGTCAACTGGATGTGGGACATATCGTCTTCCGTCTTCAAGGGGAGAAGTATGAAGCTGTGGAGGTCAAGGCAATTGAGCAAACAAAAGAAACCACCTTGGATCGTGTCTATACTCTCGCATTACCTGGAGACGAACAGACGCTTCATGTCCACGGCTATCTGGTCGAAACAAATGCTCCAGGCCACACTTTGAGGCAAACCATCAATGCGCTGCGCAAAGTGCCAGGTAGCAGAAGACTAGGAGTTTTGTCCCATTGCAAAGAGATGTGGCCGATGTTCAAGAAATTTGACAGTCAATGCATTAACCAACGGCTGAACTGGGAGTTATTTGGTCAGTACAAGTCACCAGATGGCAAGAGTCCCAAGGTGAAGAGGTCAGTCTCGTTTAGAGATCAACTCAAGACAGAGAAAGCGCTATCGCGGCCAACAGGTGTTGCCATTGACGGTATTGCGAGAGGGTTCGCTCTTACGGCCCACCATCCCAGCAACCTTCCAGCTGGGTATGAACTTCCAACTCTGAGCCTAGTCGATGGGTATCTCCTGGTCCAGGGCGAAGTGCAGCTACGGAGCACCTACGACTCCCAAGACCGGAGCTTCCACTGGACGCGGGAGCTGAAGCAGCAAAATCTGTTCGAACATGGGTCGGTCCAGATTGACTCTCGAGCAATTTCCGGGAACGGGGTTATTTATGTATCCTCGGAATCAGAGGCCCAAGCTATGCCTGACCGGCATCAGCTTCACCCATTTGTGGCGCATGCACAAAGCTTGGAGTCCCTGCACACCGCTCAGCAGGCATCGGATGAAACCTGGAAATATCTAAGCACCTACAATGTAACTCTTGATCAGAGTCCCTGGCCTGCAGACACCGAGCGAACTGAACCAGTGGACCCAGTCGACGGAGGTACCTTCGAAGATGGTTATCTGGTCAGTTCAGCAAACGTGAAAACACGTGCGTTGCGTCTGCCACTGGTTGAGCAGCTTCGGGAGCAAATCAACCAAAAGTTCAATCAGAAGCTGGGAACGTTCTACAAGGCCATTTCGCAGTTCAACACTGATGGATTGGAGACATTCAAGGTGGTATTCAGCCGTGCACCATTGGTTCCTTTTGTTTCTGACGCTGGGCTCGATCTGAAAAGGAAATTCAGCGTCGGGTTCGAGTCAGACCTGGATATTGATGTGACCCTCCCGACACTGTTTCAGCAGATGAATATCACGTTTGACGTCAGATACAAAACATTCACCGGATACTTCTTTGAATACGACCCGACCAAGCGTGGATACAAGGGTGACCGGTAAGCCTTTGTGACGTTATACGGCCAGTGATCAAGGAAGCTAAGTTGAAAATAGGCATCTTGTCACAGGGACTGCAAAACCCTCATCTGCGGCGGATACAATTAGATCCAGGGTCTCCCAAGCCTATGCATCCGTATACAAGCCGGGTGTGACTGCCTCATTGGATGAGACCTTTCAGCCTGCACCAGTCACCAAGAGCTTGCTGAAAGCCAAACAGACAACCATCGATGACTTGATGGAGCTGAGTGGCTACCAGGAAACTTCGGTAAGTTCTTGTATCACAGATTTGAAAAGAAGACAAGTATAACTAAGTGGGACAGTTACATAACGGCACGCAGCAATACATCCAACAGATGATGTACTACCACATGGACGATGAACAAAGGGAAAAGATCCTCCGGGAGCCAAAGCCCATTATCGGCCAAGACATCCCAGCCAGTCTAGCGGATAACTTACCATCCAAGTTGAAGACCTTCTTCAAAGAAAAATACGCCCCGGCCTTTATATGTCGCTACGTTGGTCGGACACAAAAGTACTCCGGATCTTTCACAGACCAAGAAATCAAGAATCTCTGGTACTGGTGGGAAGGTAATGGTCCCAACAGTCTCTCCCACAGCGAAGAGTATAATGATATCAACCGACTGAGCTCACGAGCGTCCATGTTGGAGAAATATGCTAGTCAACTTGAACCATACTTGAATGACAACCCCGAGAAGTGGGCTAAAGACCTACACACTGAGCTCATCGACAACAAGCATCTGATGGAAATCTGGATTGACAAGCCAATACAGAATGTGAGTATACCAATTCCTCATACCCCCAATTTTATACACCCATCTTCAAGGCTCTAAGCTAAACGACGCTGCCACTTCACCAGGGCAACAACGTGATCAACAAGCAATGTAACATTCTGGATGCGCTGGATCCGGGCCCAGACTGGGCAAATCAATTTTTCACCGAGTTTATGGCAGTGGCATTGGAAGAAGGCGGCGCAGCCGCAAATATCGATGATAGTGACCAGGACAGCCAGTATAAATGGGTCTATGATTCCATGAGCGATCTCATACAGGCCATTCTCAACGGCGACCAGTGGGTTTCCGAGGATGTTCGCGCAGCATTGCTGCAGGACATTAATGACTTCGAAGAGGCAAATGGCTTGAACCAGCAAGCCGACGCGGAGCAAAGAGCCGCTGCTATATTGGAGAAAAGCACGGTGTTCATGAGAGAACTGACGACTTGGATGTCATATATCGGCAAAGGATTGCAGGCTGCTTTTGGAGGATCTGCTTTGTTCAAATGGGCCGGGGAAGCTTTTGACAATGTCTCCTCCAAGTTTCTTTCCAAGCTTCCGGGAGTTGCTAAGCTGAAGGGGATTTCCAGCATTTGCATGGTTAGTCACACCCCACACCCTTGCGTTGCCAGATTTTCAAGCTGACGTACATATTTTCCTAGGCTGGGGTCAGTCTGGCCTCAGCCGCCGTGAGTCTATGGGGCTTAGTGGAGAATTGGGACTCCATGTCCGATGCTGCGAAGGCAACAGTGATTATCGAAGTCATTGGCATGGTGACTGATGCAGCTGGCAACGCAATCGATGCATTCAAGTCCTTCACTTCCAAGCCTGCTACGACGGCCACAGACCAGATAAACATGGAGGCTCTCAATGAAAGTCTCTCTAGCGAGATACGGGGCAGCAACGAGAAGCTAGGTAGTGTGGCCCAGGAGATCTCAGGACCAGAGGATTTCCGTACCGCAATAGGCGATGGCATTCACGGTGAGGGACTTCCCATGGAGGGTGGAACCAACGAAAGCTGGGACCAAGATGTTTCGAGCATCGCCGAAGATATCCCTCCGGGGTATGAAGACGCGGCTAAGAAGTTCAACATCTCGGGAAACCTACTACGAATTCTCAATATCATTCTTGGCATTGGACTGGTTGTAGCCATGTCATTCTCGCTGGCGAATGACTGGAATTCCATGTCCGATACGGGCAAGGTCCTTGGCGTGTTGAACGCCATTGTCCAGGGTCTGACTGTGCTGCTGGATATCATTGACTTCGCCGCCGAGGCCGGAGTTATTGCTGTTACTGGAACGATGAGTGTGGCTCTGCCAATTCTTGGAGCTGTTCTAGCGGTCATTGGAATAGTCCTCATGCTTGTTCAGCTCTTCATCAACCTCTTCGTTGCCAGGCAACCTCCCCCCGATCCAATTCAGGAGTTCATCGACAAAGTTGGGCATGCGCTGATCAAAACCTTTGATCAGGCGCCCGAGCCAAAGCTCACATATTCCATTTCCAGTACCAGTGTCAGCGCAGATAGTGTCAACACACTCACGATCGAGGGGGTCAATGAGACCAAGAGCGACGTTACCCTGTCGCGCACAACCATCACTCTTTACTCCGGGGATGACGACGTCTGTCTGTTCCGAAACGGCGCAGATTACATCCAGCTGGTGCCTGATGACGATCCTAACCGCGAAACGAGCGGCCATACCTACGTCGCGCCTCAAAAGATCACAGCTGGCCAGTTGCCCACGCCGGCTAAACTAGGAACTACTTCCAATTACTACCAGTATAATCTTCAGGCTGCTGGTCCCCCGAAGGAAAATTCTACCAATCTCACAAGCTTGATACTCAAACATGGGGAGAAACTCAAATCGGTATGGACAGCGGTGGCCAACAAAATAGGCGATGACAAGGAAAAGTCGACGAGCTGGATTGAAGTTATTGAGGCTGGGCTCAAGGACAAGACCCAGCATCAGTTCAAAATCACCCGTGTTTGATCATTTCGGATTTCTTTTAGGTAAATTGAGTCTGAGTTTGGCAAGGCGCATTCATGGCCAAGCGATTCCATCCAAACGGACTTCAAGTTTCATCATTGATCGAACTCATCAAGTTCAGATCTAGCTCATTGCGTTCCTTCCCTTTTAACACTTCTCTGTCTCCTTTTTCATCCCAGATCAACACTATTTATCCGAAGGCTTCTAGGAACTGCTGTGAATGATTTAATGATCTGCACTAAATAGCCTAAGCTGTCATGCACTAGTTCTGCTTAGCAATGGAGAAATTTCAGATTCGAATAAGCAACATAATTCATCAAGGGGGAGCTATGGTGTGATTTTGAGATGTCTGATCTTAGAACAGGTAGATGACAGACCTTGTGCGCATCATTTTGTGGCGTTTGGGGTATTTCAAACGTGAGAAAATCTACTTCCTTCCATGTGCGGCATTGCATCATGGTTCTGATAATCGGAGTGCGCAGTCTTCATACCCCTTTGCTACCTCTGTTTTGATCTTGAAATGTAGAAGCTATCGAGCTGCATTGTTCTCGATTGGGATATGAACCCCCATTCACTGTTTTACCAGCTATCGCCACTGTTTCGAGGCCGAGACCGGACTTGTGTGCACCTGTGCTAGTATTGGCAACAATCTTGCAGTCCTTCACGGGGACGACTCGTGCATTACATCTACTGACTGATGATATCAATGAGAGAGGTCGACGGCTATACACATCTTCCTATTCGTGTTGTAGGCCGTTTAATTCAAGCCGGTCAATGCCGTTGTGGCACTTTTTAGGTATTCAAATCTTTGTCGATACGTCCTCGGATTTTTCTTGGGGTCTCCGTTTGGCTCGAGGTCGAAGATTATCCCAGGGAGCTTAGGGTAATCGGCCAAGTCGCAGCGTGCGTCCAAAAAGCCCTGGTAGGTTTTCCGTAAGCTTGTCAAAGAAGCCATTTCAATTCTCTTGTCAACGGGCTCGAAGTAATGGTCTTTCTTCCCTTCATCGCAATCGCATTTGAGCCGAGGTTGAACGAGGCGAGCGGGGGAGTGAATCGTCCACTCTGGTGTGTTGTAGTCTCTTTCGCGCCCACATTCTCTTTTCTGGCTACCTTGACCATAACCTCTGCAGCGGACACGAACAGTCTCGGCACAGCCACCCCGATCCTTGCCCGTGCGGCACAGAGGTGCCTTCCAGTTTGACTTGCGGCGTTTAGTCTGGGCAATGGCCCTCGTTTCCATACGAGTATGATCCTGCACCATGTGGTTAGCCGGGACGAGACCTGGCTTGCCTTTGCAGCCATTCTGCCCACAGCCATTGCCACCATTTTGAGCACTTCGAACAACTTCGATCAGGTAACAACTTGGCAATTCCGCAACAAAGAAAGGGAACGCGTCGTCCAGAACTGGCCTTTGACAAGCCCTACATTTCCGATGAATCAATTTGCCTGGCTCCCCGGGAATCGCTTGAAATTTCTTGAATCCGGACTCAGTTCTGGTGATTTTGCGAATGTACATGATTCCGACCATATAGGCGAGATATTCAGTCGAGAATTGATTTGGGTGGGATCTGCGGCCCTTATCAAGAAGGGAAAATGCCACATCCAAAGTCTCTCGATTTGTTATTGGTACGCCATGAATTTTAAGTCCGTCTTGGGACCGGAGCCATAAGCCAAGTGGAGTCGGAATGTCCCCAAAGTCGAAAATCTCAGACTCGACGTAATCATCGCTCGTTTCATTTTGAAAAGGATCCATATCCTTGACAACTCTTTCAAATGATGCGATGACAGATTGCAATTCGTTGTTTCTCGCATTCAAGCGGAAAATCTACTGACTGATTAGACCAAAGCTTTGAAGCTCGGAGAACACTACTCACCTGTTCTTGCTCAGAAATGGGACCATTGGGATGGGTGTACATAGGCACAAGAGATCTAGAGGAGATATCTCCGAGTCCTCTTAATAGTTCCTCCTCTTCTCTTCTGCGAGATTGTTTGAGCTTGAACTCCTTGAACCTTTTCGGAAATGCCACCTGGAAGGCATTCAGAGCCTCTCGTAAATGCTCTTGCCTCTCCATGTTCTGCCTGGCACTTAACCGAGAATATTGGCCTCGGACAAACTGAAATTCAAAAAACCCGGGCTTAATCTGGATATGATGCTGTAGTCCAGCAAGCTGGGTAGCCATCAAAATCGCCAAATCCTGTGGTCTTCCATAGGTCGCAAAAAACTCAGAACTAGCCTTATTGAAACGTCCAGGCCGAGAGAAAACTTGAGGGTGATAGGCTTGAATGATGAACCTCTTCATAGAATTTGAATTCGGCTCACCGAGCTCGAGCCAAAGTCTTACAGACTGAAAGGTTCCCCCTAGAGGCAAACGAGCCAGACGAGCAGTTTTTTGTAGTTCTTTGAAAACTTCCTCTCCGAAACAGATTTCCACAACTGCGGCCATATTATTTCGGACCTTTCGAATGAAGTGTCGATGGGGGTGCCGTAGATCCTCCGTGTAGAAAAGAAGACAATCATCAGTCCGTTCTCGGCGACAAATTTCATCGAACATAAAGCAGTGGCCAGATGATAGACCACATTCATTTAATAAGCGAATTGTCGGGTTTGTGAGGTCATCAGTCACCATGCTTTGTGAATCTGCGACGAAAAAGGTTGGATTGAAAAGATGGATGGCAAGGGGTGAGCTGATGGAGCCGCTGGGATGAACGAAATGAGGGGATCGATCTACTCCCAAACCCTTCCAAACCATAGTATCTTGCTTAACTAGCTCCTCAAATGCAGTCCCCAAGTTCCACGGCTCTTTCACCCCTATATCTACGTCAGCTTTAATCTAAGAAGTGAGGGTTTCGAGGGAAAAAATAGCATACGAGTCTTGAGCGATGCATCAAAGGCTCTTAAGAGTGGTAGATGGTGTGATATCTTGTCGAGCTCTTCCGCGGTTGGGGTCTCGATTGAACAACTCCCAAATAAGAGAAACCCCAGTTGGGAGAAAAGATTGAAGAATCCACGGACAAGACACCGGGAAGATCATGGAGAAGTTGTAGAAGAGAATAGACAAATAGAGAACAAAGAGTTGGAGCACGAAGAACAGAGAATGAAAGCTGGAAGCCACAAGAAAGAAAAAAAAAACACTTGAGGAGAGACAAGCAGAAGACATCAAGCCCTCTTGAAAGTAGCAAACTTGCGCTGCAGCTAGAATCCAAACTAGCCGGAAACAGCTTGAGGGAGCGAGCCTGTTCCCTTGCAACCTCCCAAGAGGTATCCAAACGTGCGATGGAATTATGTAAATTGATGGCGCGACCACATACAGCATTTCCATGTAGTGTAAGAGAAATTCTCCTGTATAAACTGCATCATAGCTGTTCAAACAAAAGCTCCCGTAAGATGAGAATAGAAAAGCATGACTCGGAAGATACAGAATGGGGTGGATAACGACATACAAAGATCAATTCATCACAAGGTCATACGACGACCGAGGTAGTCCTTTGCTGGAGAAAGAATAAGAGCACCGGCAATGGCTCCAAGCGGTATACCGGCGTTGACGAGACTGTTGTCTGCCGAGGACAGACCCGGGTCAATAGGGAGGTAGAGGTTTGCACCATTGATAAGTGACTGGTCAATTCCAGACAGTACACCTCCCATGGATGTGAAAGCAACAAGGACATAGGTAAACCTAATAGGATTGAACAGATTCATAACAAAGCGGGAATTTGCCAGACCGGACAACTGCTCTCCAAACTGCTGCAGTTCGACGTCCATGGTGGCTTCGCTCCTCTCATCTTGGGGCTTTTGGTCCACCACGTCGTCCATCTTGAAGGCGATGGCGCCCTTGTCTTCTTTGTGCTTGTTTGTAGGCGCCTCGACATATTTGAGGCTGGCCATGATGAATGAGGACCTTCTTTCAAGAGATGGTTCGTGTGGAGAGTCTACTAAAGTATGTAAAGTATGACAGTGGAGTGGAACTATCACTTCAGGCTCTGCTAGGGCAGGGAGAACAGTGTATATAGAGGATGAATAGTAATATATGGAAGAAGCGAGGACACCAGCTGGCAGAGCCAAGGAGGAAACGCAAGACTACTAAAGGCCGTCCATTTTGCAATCACGGCGATCCCGACGATCCCGACGATCCCGACGAAGGTTTGGTGGGCGTTCGAAAAAAAATGGGAGGCAAAAAAAAAAAACAAGCTGGGAGATGCACTATGTCGCAGAGAATGGCCGAATCGTGACGAAGGCCCTGAAGTATATACACTTAGTACTTTCCCATGTGTGGAGAGACGTGGGGGACCAGGCCCGTCCAGGGAGATCAGGTTGAGGAGAAGATGAAAACCCAAGACGGGGTCTAATCGGGTAGCAAAAGTAGGACCAAACTGAGAATATGCAGCGTACAGCAGGTGTACAGCAGGGATTGGAATCTGGAGGAACATGGGGAATTCATTTCGGGACTCTCGACGAATCGTGGGCCATCCACGCCTATGTCGTCCGTTCTAGGGAACACAGCAGCCAACGCGTAGAATTTAAACCTCAGATCGACGGTCTGGTGTGGCATCGTCCACAAGTACTTCTGGAATCATCCCGGTCTGTCATTGTATCGGCATATATCACAGCCCGGGTTGTGTTGGGGAAAATCCTGCGTAAGAAGACAAGACACTCAATGCAGCAAAAGAGTGCCATGTCACATGTATGTCTCGGACATTATCCGGGACAGGACGCTAGCGGCATGCAACTAGGGTTGGGGTCCCCGTCGGAATTTTCCCCAGCATAAGCTGAGATGGTTATTCGCTAACTGTTTACTTGGCTTTGGTGGCTGCCGCTAAGCAATGCTCGGTTGTATCCACAAGGGGCTAAGGGATTCGGTCTGATATCCCTAAAGTGTGATGAAAAAGGTCAAATCTATGAATGGGTCCGCGTGAATTCTCGCTTATATCCGGCTATCACATCTTAGATACACAGCTAGGAATTAACTAACCATCATTAGATTAAATTTGTCCTATAGATATGTTGTCGATAAACATTGGAAATGAAACAACTCCCTACGCCATGCTCTCTGCCATGCAATGCAAGCCTCAATCTCACCGTCTTCCAGACAATCCAATAGGCTTCCGAGCACTGGGGTCAACATTGGGACTAGGGGATCTTCCTCCCTGTAATCTGGCTCGCAGTCGGTCCTGAGCTGAGCCACCACCCGATCCAACACGGTCGAGATTAGGACGACTCTGGGCAGACTGAGTCGACCCAACGCGCTGGCTGGGCAATGGCCGCGCTCCAGCTGGACTATGGGAGCCCGATCCAGCAGGCGAATGGGACTGAGAAAGTGGGAGGGCACCCGGAGGTGCGCTGTTGGCCGAGCCGAGCGGTGGTGCTGTGCCACCACGCCCGCGACGAAGACTAGCTGTCTGTGGGGCCGATCCTTGGGATGAGGGCGAATCTCCCCATAGATCACCTAGACCGCCGCTCCGGCTGGAGTTGGCGGAACCTTGGTTGTAGCCGCCGGAGGGTAGCTGTGAAGTCGCAATCTGGCGGGAGGGGGACGGAGCTGGACCCTTGGGGTCTTGGGGGAGCCATAATGGAAATTGGCGGCCGTTTTCGATGTAATAGGCGCGAAGGGCGTTGGAAATGTGGGAGCAATCTTCATTGTCGGGGTCGTCTCCCTCGTCGCCTAGGGTAATGGCACGGCGAAGGCTGGTGAGCCGCGAGCCCAGGCCAGAGATGGCCGAAGAGCTAGCCAGCGATGTGAAATATGAACTCATCTTGTGGCAGCCGAGTATCGTGGTTGAGTAAAGCGTGGTCTGCAGAATGGCAGCTTCGATGCGGGGTGCTTGGTGCGGAGCTGGAGGTTTACTCGCGATGGCCCAATGCAAGAGATTAGGGTCAAAAGGTTAGACAAGAGATGAAGATAATTGCATTGGATTATTAATTGGGGTATTAACAGAAGAACCGGCTCCTGGGGTGAGGTGAAGTCTTTCAAGTGGTTAAAGATGAATGAAAGGAAACAACAGCGGAGGGCATTCATCGGGCCACGTGATCACGTGTTTCACCTAAACAAAGCAGCGGTCAGGTCTTGTCTTAATTAAATTATATTCAGACATCTCAGGAGTAAAAGGGCCATCGAGCGGTACAGTCGAAGATAAGATAGACATTGGAAGATCTAGGATCGTGAGTTGTAGTGGATGCAATACAGCAGGGTATGATGCCCGACCACTAGCACAGAATAAGATATAGAACAAAAGAATTGACAGCCCAAACGCCCATGCAAGATCAGGTAAACTTTTCCCAAATCCCCTAACATCAACAAAATCATGCCATGATCTGGTCCTTGCCAGCACCCTCGGTCTCGTATTCGATCTCGATGCGAGGTCCCTTCTTGCGAGGCTTCGATTGGGGAGCAACGTGCTTCCTCTTAGCACTGGGCTTGGGCTTCTTCTCATCCTCGCTAGCCTCCTCATCGTCCTCGCTGTCATAATCATCACTCTCATCGTCATCGTAGTCGCTGGAGTCGGCTGAGTCGACACCCAGCCAGTCTTCCATATCCTCGAGGTCCTCCTCCTCATCGAGATCGCTGACGTACTCGACCTCACCAACACCCTCTTCCTCCTCCTCAAGCTCCTCACCATCATCCATATCCACATCACGCTCGCCGTCACCAGCCCGCTCAAGTCCACGGAGGACCTTCTTCCAGATACCCTCCTCGACATTGAGTGGCCGATCACCATAAGCGCCGCTGCGCAGACGCTCAATAAGCTCACGCTCAATGGCTCTCTCGACTTTAGCCGCAGACTCGGCCTTCCGCTCACGAGTCTCCTCACGACGGCGGACCTTTGGCGCCAGCTTGGGCACAACCTTCTCCCCAAGACGCTCGTCCTCCTTAGCAATGTTCTTCATGCGGATGCTGACCTGCGTGAGGCGGGTAAGACGCTGCTTGCACTTGTGGGTCAAGAACTTGGGCCAGTAGATAAGACGCTCATCGACTTGTTCAAGAGCCTTGGCATAGTTGGAAGATAGGCGCACTCGCTCCCACCATTTGCTGGGCATGTGGGCTCGTTCGACGGTCTTCATGTATAGGTACATAACGCCCGTTTCGGGATCGCTTCGCACCGTCGCATATCGCGAGTTGGCCAGTGGGCAGGACTGGCGATTGCACAGACCGCTGACGTTGTATTCATTGCGGCAGAAGTTTTGATCTTTGGTCGTCCTACAGACAAGGTTGAAATGGTTAGTGGAAGATTCTTGTTTTTCAGTCAATGTAGAATGGAGATGAAGATTCTGCGGACTAAATAGCTGGCAAGTGAAGACCAAGACTCACTTCAGTTTGTAGGAGCAGAATTGCTGGTTGATAACCTGCCAGACAATTTCGTCGGACATTATGAACGAGTTATTGGCAACCGAAAAAGTGGATGGTTCTAGAGTCTATGCAGCAGATGTTTGACCCCGAAGAAAAAAAAAGATTCGATATGAATTGACCGCCTACCCGAGTAGGACGGTCATGTGACTGCTTATCGATTGTGCGAAACGTCATTGGATGGCCCGGGGATCCGCCTTCCAAGGTTAGCATCCACTACAATATAGAATAGCATATATCTTACTAGTACAACTTGAAAGACCTTCACCTAACAACTGATAGAGGAGAGATTTTCAAAATCTGACATCATGATAATAGTCCACACCCCTGTATTATGTGTAGAATTGGAAGTCCATTATAATACGTGCAGACATATATCATCACGGAAGGATTGATAGAGACGTTCTCAACACTACGTGAAATCGACACCAAGTAGTACCTAAATGGTCCTAAGAAGGAGCAGAAGTGAATGGCTATTTTAATAATATGGGAGTAGCCCGATGCTAGATACGCTCAACAAGACAACATGCTTAAGATTGATGTACAGAGAGCCACATGATACCAGATCGGTGGTAGTTGGGGCGATGAAAGAAGAGAGAGATGGAGAATCCAAGCGAGAGAGTGACCATGGTACACCGAAGCCATGAGTAGTACCAAATCTATCCACGGACCTTTCGGTAACTTGGCGGGTGCCACGACTGTTTGATCATTTTTCCAGCCCAGACCGGAACCAGAGACACAGCTAGTACAGCCAAAACTCGCCACAGCCAGTCAAGAGTGATCACGTAACCAAGGTCGAAGTAATCCCCCAGGAAGGGAACACTGCCTACGTATACAAGCAGTGTACCAATCAGACAGAAGATCATAACCGGGTGCCAGGTTGTGATTGAAGTGGCGACCATACCAAGCTCGTTGAGGACGAGGGCGGTAAATGAGAGACTAATGAGGCGCGGTCCTGAGATGGTATCCAACAATATCTGAGACAAACCCTGGATTACTGCACCCTGATAGATAGAAATGAGGACCCAACCGAAAAACGAGCGGTAGCTTAGACTCTTCCCTGTCTTGAGCTCTTTGTAAAGCTCTGGGTAGAGATTGGCGAGACGCTCGTCGACATCCCGATCAAGGGCAAGAGAGAAGACCGGTGCGTTGGTGTAGACAGTTGCATAGCCGACCATGAGCCAGTTGATGAACAAGCCCTTGGGATCGAAGTGGCTGGCGATGCTGTACATAGTCTGGCAAACACTGATGATCAACCCACGGTGCATGATGAACTGTGCCAGTTTAGCAGACCGCTTGTATGAGTTGCGGCCATGCCAGACTAGAAGCTTGGTGATGTGGTGGAACTGAGTAATACTGAAATCAGCGGCTAAAGATGCTTGGCGGCCTTCCTTGCCCACGATACCAATTCCAACATCGGCCGCTTGAATCATCGAGACATCGTTGCCGCCATCTCCAATGCAACAAACGCGTTTCTTTGTGCATTGGCGAATCAGGTCCGCAATCTCAGCTTTCTGAGTGGGGGAGCATCGGCATGCGACCACGGCGGGTAATAGCACTGCGACAGAGATGAAAGCTGTTCTGAATTGGCCGAGCATGAGGTTCAAGGACTCGCCATCAATCAGCAGGCAGCAATCAGTCTTGTTGCGCAAGAAGTCAAGAGCTTCTTGGGCAGTCGACCTGTCTGTGACTTTGGTGACTGTGTGAATGTATTGGCCCCGGGAGACTAATTTGGCCGAAATCGCGACACAACGCGCAGTCTCCACTTTGTCTCCCGTCAGCATCCAGATCTTAACACCAGCATTGCGTAACAGCTCGAGAGAGGATTTGACGTCGCGCTGCAGCCGATCTTCCACACCGGTCACACCGGAAAGCTCTAAATTTTGTTCGAGGTATTCGCTCACAACCTTGGCCATCCCTGCATCTCGCCCCTGAAAAGACAGTGACGCTTGTTTGTGTTTGGTAGAGAATTCCTGGTATTGCTGTGCGGAGATTCGTTTGCGTCCAACCACGAGAGTTCGCAACCCTTCCCGAGCCATGTTGTTAGTCTCCTCGTCAAGCCAGTCATTCGCTGCAACAATGGTTGTCATGACAGTGTCTGCACCCTTCTGATAGAACCAAATTTCACCATCATCTTTGCCGGATTCAAGTATGTTTTCATCGTGCTGGAATTGGACGATAATCCCCATTCGCTTGGAGTCGGATGTGAATGGGAAGATATCGAGAATTCGAGCTCGAACCACAACCTGCTTGGAGTCGGTGGATTCCAGGACAATATTTTGTCTGTCTCGATATGCTAGTTTTAATCCAACTTCTTCGGTATATCGGATAATGGCAATTTCATCAGGTGACGACGCTTGGTAGCTCGTCACCTTCCGGCCGTCTTCCTCCTCCGTAGTCGGTGTGACGTTATGGCAGAGAGCAAGCGCTAAAATGATATCCCGGACGCGGGAACCAATCTCTCTTCTTATCCGTGGCGCTGTGGCATGGCCAGCCTGAGTTCCAAAGACAGTTGAAGGGGTGATTAGGGTATTGCCCGAAAACGCAAAAGCTTGACGAATAAACGAGGCAACTTCGTCCATTGCCTCATTGGCGTATGATACCGTGCCAACGTGTATTTTTTTGAGCTCCATCTCATTTTGGGTCAACGTTCCCGTCTTATCTGAAAGTAAATATTCGATTCTTCCCAGATCTTCTGGAATTGTACTGGTGCGGACGACCGTTCCTGGAATGTCTTTGTCTCGTTCAATGAACCGTCCGTAAATCGACTTCGCCATGTCCAGATTGACTCGCAGACTCATGGGAATGATCGTGGAGAAGAGAATGAGATAGATCATGATCGCAACGTACCATTTCTTGTCATTGGTTGGTTGGAATCTTTCCAAGCCGACAAGGATGATCGAGAGAGTAACTGTGAGGACGCAGAGAATTTTGGTAAGGTTGTTGATCTCGAGTTCTAAAAGGCCGATCTTCGACCGGGAAGCAGACGTTGAAAGCGAAGCCCGGGTTTGAGATCCAGTATAGATGATGACGGCGTAGGTGATGGTATTAGACGCAAGAACAGTGTTGGCCCAGGCAGTATTGTCGATTGTCAAGGGAGCTGAATGGTTATCCACAGGCCCAGGCGTTCCTTCGTTGTTTGTGGGCCCGGACGATTTGTCGACATGAGCATCATATAATCTAGTGGGTGGTCCCAGCTTTATAGTCCCCACAAATTCGTTGACTCTCTTGTCAGGTGCGCTAGCAGTGATTTGCAGCCGACCTAAATCGCTCAGGGGGAGCGATTGAGACATCATCGAAGGAAGACGAAGCTTCCAGTCAGTCTCGCCATCCAGTTGATCAGTCCGGATGAAAGTATCACCGGCAGGTGAATTTTCAACAATTTGACCATTCTTTGACGTGGTGTCGGTTGTGGGTTCGGATGATCTCTGACGTGGTTCGAGCAAGTCGGAAGATGGCCCATGGGCAGGTTCTTCAGTTAATGAATGGCGAGGGGTACCGGAATCATTTGAAATGCTCTTCAGAATCACTACATCGGCAGGAAGGCGTTGGTTCTTGCGAACTTTGAGCACATCACCAACTTTCAAGTCCCGCGACTTTTTTGTGACCTCTCTTGCGTTAGATCTTCCTAATGCTATAGTGCAGTATTCTTCTGCATTGGCTTCGGAATCTCGTCGCCGACGACCAATATCATCAAGCGCTTCCTTTCCCAATGATATTGAAACCACAAAGGCCAAAGGCGCAATGTACGACGACATATAACCAATCCGTAGCACCGGGATGACCTGTGATAAGGCCACCAAAAGGAAGTATATGTTGAAAAAGAAGGAGAATTCGTTGTAGAGTGTTCTCGGTAGGAAACTCCAGGGTGTGTATTTTGCGTTTGAGACCACATTGGCCGGGTACTTGGCAGCTTGATACTGCCCGACAAGTACTTCACGGGGAGGTTGGTCCTCAGGGTCATTGCCATTTGAGTCAAATCGAATCGATGTAGCCTGTAGGAATGCTGGAGTCTTGAATACTGGGAGGCGCAAGCGGCTGCCTTTCTTGGGAGGCTCCTCGTTGAAATCGCGAGTCAAGGCTCTGCGATTAAGAAGAGGTGCATCATCATCTTCTAGGTTTCGGGAGCTTGCATGTGAGTCCCGCAAGGGCTGGTCATCTCCATTTTCTAAAAGCGCCTCGGTATCATCCTCCAAGTCTGCACGTCCAGACGCGCTGCGTCTCCATCGACTTGCCGCTCCGACGCGCAGGTTGCGCAGCGCGATACCCGGCCCATAGCTTCTTTTGCGACCAGTATAGTCCCGAGACTCACTAGGCTGCTGAGGAGATGTTGTGCTGGGATCTAACTCTTCTAGATCCAGGTCGTCGTCCGAGTCTGAGAAGGCGTCTGGCGCATCGGGGTGGTCTAGGGGGTGCAGGTATTCGGACGAGGAAGGCATTATGGGAAATATAGTAGGGTTCAAGTCAAGTCGACTGCTAGCTTCATGGAAGGTAGTGCTTTGAGGCCTTGCATCAAAGGGAGGTTCATCTCAAGTATATGTTGTCATGTGCGGTGCATGTGCAGCATAATGAAAGAGGGGAGAGATGCTGCCAGTGTCGAAAAAAAAAAATCAAGTTTTTCGTTGGGTAAAGTGCGATCAGCGCCACGATCATATAGAACAGTGAAATGTATAAAATGGAGCACCGCTTTTGAATCTCATCAAAGGACGGTCGATGACTGCCTGTCGGAGCCACGCAGTCACATGAGTGCATAACTTGCAGTGATAGCTGGCTGACGTAATAATGCACTTTTAAGGTTGTGCATAAGGCAGCCGGACTATCAGTTGCTCCGAATCATGGGCTTGTGTTGTTCCTCTTCAGGACATTCTGATGACTCAGCGCGCTCATTTGGCCCTCGGGGGAATCATAGGCGGAGATCGCCCGTCGCTGTCGCAATATCCCAGTACACTCCGACTGCTTGTTTTTTTTTTTTGCCAACAGCTGATGCATTCATGATCGATTGATTTCGTTGAATTATTTTTGGTCGCTTTTATATCTACACCGTTTAATGGATTCTTAAGTTGACACCTTTGACCCACGTTTTCCTTCACGATTGTTGGTCTCCTGAGGCGTCATTGGAGACGTGTCAGGTTGGTCACCCCGGACTGCACCCCCCATCTCCAGTCACGTTGGAAATCGAGACCAACTTTGCACATATGGCGCACCAAGCGACCGACAATAATTCGGAGTCATGGAATCCAGCATTACGGCCTGAGAACAATAACTCTTCTGCTACGATGAGCTTGATCCAGGGTGGTTTGTCGGATCTGATTGCGGCGGACGAGCCAAAGGACGAGTCCTTAGAAGATATTGTGTCCCCGCAGAGTGAGGACTTCTCTGCCTGGGATATTTCAGATGAGGTAGACGCGATTCAGCCTCAACACACGAGCTTGGACGTGCTAGTGAACAATGCATCACCAGTGATAGACCAGGTTGTGTACCTAGACACTGATTCCATCGAGAAGAAGAGTCAAACCCCCGATCGGACTGTTGAAGCGATTCATACAAAAATAGCGCCATCTATCGAGAATGCAGATACCGTCTTAAGCCCGACCCCACCGGAAACGCAACCCGCGCAGCCTGTTCAGACCCAAGCACCTTCAGTCCAATCCGGTGCAGAGGCTAGTAATGGGGGTTTCACCACTGTTGAAGGGTCGGCCCCCGTGCAAACCGAAACCTTTGATATTTTCGTTCCCACTGTCGCACCTGAACAAGAATATTTGGAGCCGACATTTGTGCGAGATGCGACTCCTTCGGGGGAGGAGCGAACCATGGCACCTGAACCCATGTTGGACACTCTCAAACATGAATTTAGCCCTCAGTCCACTCCCAGTGAAAAAGCTTCTCTACAAACAGACGAGGGGAACACTGATTCCGAGGATCCGTCGGCCACTTTCGAGAAGGACCTTGGAAATGCACCGCCCCCCACCGAAGAGGCTACCCCTCATAGCAAAATTTCCCATAATTTCTCAGAGTTTGCCTCAACACCTAATCTAATCCAGGATAGGGAGGAGCCAAAGTTCGTCGAAGAAGCTGTGCGTCCATCACCCGAGGAAACAGCATTTACGGGTGCGACATTTGACGAGAAGAGTGCTGACATCTTCAACTACACTGAAAAGGTCATCGCTACGACCGAAATTGAGCAAGCTGATCTTTTGTCTCGCTCGATAAATGTTGAATCTGAGAATGCCGATTCATCAGTTCCTATGGAGGCCTTCGCATCCACCAACGAGGCCTACCCAGATCCGGCCGCAGCGGATGAGGATACAGCCCCTCAGGACCAACCTTTCTGGACAAACGAGGCGAGCGGTAAAGTCGACTCCGATGAGGACGACTTTTTCAATCAACTCAACAGCCAGACAAAGCCAATCTTTGCACCACCAGAAGCCGAGCCTGGGTCACCAGAAGCCGAGCCTATGTTCGAGGAAGGGGCCCCTTTGTTAGATAAGCCTACAACGGCTTCACCTCAACGCCGACTGGAAGAAGATAAATCTATTGACAGCGTGTTTACCAACGACGAGGATGATGCAGATAGGTTCTTTAGCTCGGCTCCAAAGTTAGAGGACAAGAACGGCGATGAGAATTTCTTGGGCTCTACCTCGAAGGAAGACGCCGAGGAGCAACCTGTCGATCATTTCGCCCGAAATAGCACATCTCAGGTCTTGGAATCGGCTGGATTTGTTCTGGATTCCCCTGTTAGTGACTCTTCGGCTGCGGCGCAGTTTGATGATGCTCTGAAGGTTGCGTTGCTGGAGCCCCAAACAACAGTTGATCCCTCAGAGGAAGAGCTAGCCGCACGGTGGGAAGCTGAGCTAGCAGATTCACCGGATGATGATCTGGCGGCTCGCTGGGAGGCGGCATTGGATGATGACGATATACTGCTGGAAGCTGAAGCCGCTCAGTCTGTCTCTGCACAGGAGCAAATTAATCAAACACCTATTCAGTCCACGCACAATGGTCTATCGGCTGGCTTGAACAGTCCGTTCCAGACCCCTCAGGCCTTTCCCCAGCCAAGACCTGTTCCCAACATATACACACCCCATCAACCATCCACTGGTGATCTATTGCAGGGTGTTCCTCTTGCAGGAACTCTGCCGCCAGCCACCGGAGCGATGTCATCATACTTCTCGCAGGCACCGCATAATCCTGTGGCAATAAGGGGAGAGAGCTTTGCTGAACGGTCAAAACAGGGTTATAAATCTCCTTATGACCTTCCAGATGAAATCTCCCGACCCCGAAAGCCGGTCACTACCCATAAGCCTGTTCCTCCAACAGTGACTAGTTTGCCCCCACCTCCTCCCCGAGGTCTTTCTGGCGTACCGATTCCTGCTGCTGCTGGCTTCCTCACTCCGGCAGCTCCCCCATCATCTGTGTCTGCTCCCCCTGCGCCAAAGAATTTCTACGAGGAACTTCCTTTGGGGCCACCAAGGTCTAGGCCTGCCAGCTCAGGTCGGTATACCCCTAATCCGCAGGCGGTGCCAACGATGACCGGGTCATCTCTTTCCCTCCCCCAGGTCCAGTATGCTGCTGCCGCACCACCAGTTCCACAGCACATGGCGCTCCCAATTCAATCCACATTCCAGCCCCCTGAGCAGCTGGATCCGTATGCTAGTCTAGCATCGAGTGCCCTGACTGGACCTTCTGCCGATGCAAGGTATTCTCCTCAGCCTCCTGGCTTGCAAGCACCCCCAAAGCCACCTTCGCTACCGAGATACTCCCCTGCTCCCCCTCCTACCTCTTCCACTCCCAATCGGTATGCCTCACAGCCACTCAATGTTCCTGGCCAAAATTTGCCTTTCCAGCCACGGACTTCAAGTCCGCTTGCACACCATGAAAAGGTTTCCTACCAGCCTGATCAATCACACAAGCTACCATCTCTCGACCCTGCGATCAATTTATCTCCGACGCGCGGGCAAGGAGCTGGCTTTGGACAAATCCCGCCTAGTGCTCCGCAATATCTTAATGGTCCCGACAGCCTACCACGAAGAGAAGGTGCAGGCTCACCTGTACAATCATCTCCGCCTCAAAGTCGCTATGCCCCCCAGGAATATCTTAATGAATTTGCCCAGCGTCTCGCACCGGCCCCGGAACACGCCCTCCCTGTTCCCGCGACGAATGTATACATGTCCCCGCCGCCGAACGATATCCAGATTGGTCCACTTCGCAGGTCCCAGACACAGTCACCTAGCCGGGACTTGACGAGCCCGCGTTCCTACGGACAGAACATCGATATCCTTCAACGGCCGGCTTCCGTGCAACTTTCAGGCTCGCCAACTAGAACTGTGAATCCATATGCTTCTGTGCAGGCTGTCTCTCAAACCCGCGCTCCAACGAAGCACCTGGAATTCATCGTTCCCAATGATGGACATCAGCATGATCCCCTGGAGCGATGGAAGGGTGCTCCTATCTTCAAATTCGGGTTCGGTGGATCCATAGCATCTTGTTTCCCTAGGTACATTCCTCGCTACTCCGCTGGCCAAGTGGCGCCAATGATCCAGCCTACTCTTGGTGAACCGAAAATTTCCCAGCTGAACGAATGGCTGCCCTCTGGTAATAACATTGTCCAGCACCCTGGGCCCCTAAAGGCAAAATCAAAGAAGAAGGACTTGATTGCTTGGCTTTCTAACAAGATTTCGGCATTCGAAGCTTCAGATCTTCCAAGCTACGAACAGGTTCAGTCCGATACGCGCAAACGCCAGGAGGAAAAAATTCTTCTGTGGAAGGTTGTCAAGCTGCTGGTGGAGAATGACGGCAATCTGGAGAGTTCCCCAGAAATTCAAAATTCTCTACGCCAGATCATCTTCCCTAACTTACCCAACCCCGACGCAGACGGATCATACACTAATAGCTTAGCCGCCTCGGGAGGATTTGCCCCTTCCGAAATGCCTTCGCAGCCTGATGCTGTTGATCCACAGTGGTTGGAGGAGCTCCGCTTACACTTGATCTATGGCGATCGGGAGAAGGCTGTCTGGAGTGCTGTCGATCGACGTCTTTGGGGACACGCGATGATCATCTCATCGACCATGGACAGGTCGATTTCGAAACAGGTCGCGCAGGAATTTGTCCGCCGGGAGGTCAGATCCAAATCCACAAACACCGAGTCACTTGCAGCCCTCTACGAGATCTTCGCTGGCAATATCGAAGAAAGTATCGATGAACTGGTTCCCCCGTCTGCCCGAGCAGGTCTGCAACTTATTAGCAAGGCTGATGGCCAGGGATCCACTAAGAATGCGCTCGAAGGGTTAGACAAGTGGAGGGATACCTTGGGACTGGTTTTGAGCAATCGGAGTTCCGAGGATCATCTGGCCCTATTTTCCCTTGGTCACCTCCTCAATTCTTATGGACGGACAGATGCGGCTCACGTTTGTTACATCTTCTCGCGTGCTGCAGTTTTCGGTGGCCCCGATGATCCGAAGGCCAACATCACTCTCCTTGGTGCTGACCATCAGCGTTGCCCTTCTTCCCTAATGGAAGGAGACGCTGTCTTGCTGACTGAGGCCTATGAATATGCTACGTCTGTTCTCAGCAACTCTCCAACAGCCCATCTGCCACATCTCTTGGCTTTCAAGATTCTGAATGCCAGGCGCCTTGTTGATCAGGGTCGCAATTTAGAGGCGCAAGGCTATTGCGACGCAGTGGCAGCAGCATTGAAGGCAACCACTCGTCCCTCGCCATACTATCACCAACACCTTTTTGCGGAAGTTGAAGAGCTGTCTGCACGTCTGCGTCAAACAACCAGTGACAGCGGCTCTTGGATCTCGAGGCCCAGCATGGAGAAGGTCTCGGGGTCTATGTGGGCTCGCTTCAATAGTTTTGTGGTAGGTGATGATAATGATGCTGCATCGACTGGGTCTGGTAAAGGTGGCGAGCATGCCGAAGTTGGTCCTTTTGCAAACGTGGCCGGCACCCCGACAATTAGCCGTTCACCTTCTGTATCTGACATCTACGGTTCTTATCCTGGAGCAACTGCAGGAGCGCAGCCTATTCCTACCAGCGGCGTGTCCAAGTATCACCCATCCGGCCAATATGCCCCCAATGCTTCGCCTGAGCAGTTCAAGGGCCGATCTTCGATGGATTCTCAGAGATCTGCTTCCTACTTCCCGCCTGTTGGACAGCGTCGAAGCTCACAAGAACTCTCGCCCTCGATTGATCAACAGATGTCCTATGGAGCTTCACTATACGGGTCACCAAACGCGGGTGGATATCAAGCAACACCGCCCCAGTCTTCTTACATTCCTCTTGCTCCGGTAGAAGAAGCCATGTCACCCTCAGAAGCTCTTACAGCTGCACAGCCCATGGTGAACGGTCTCTTTTACCAGCCCCCAGGACAGGCCGCTACATCTAGCGAATCTCCATATTACCAAGGCCCCCCTGGTATGCCAGCTGGTGTACCAGACTCAGACTCACCCTACGCGCCCCCAGTTGCCAGCTCTTCTTACGAACCAGTTTCTTACGAGCCTGTTTCGGCTGGTGTTGACACGGGCGATGTTGCCCAGGAGGATGATGTCCCACCTGTCGCAGAGCAATCGAAGAAGCAGGCAATAATGGATGATGACGACGACGACCTTGCTGCCCGGGCAGCGGCTATCCAAAGAGCGGAGAACGATCGCAAAGCAAATGAAGCGTTCGCGAAAGCCGCCGAGGAAGACGGTATGTATCAACAACGCTTGTCGCTTAAATCACCTGTTAATCTAACTTCTGCTGCAGCTAAGAAGGATGCCCAACAATCTGGCAAGAAGGGCTGGTTTGGTGGTTGGTTCGGCGGAGCCAAGAAAGAGGAAAACAACTCCGGTGGCGGTCCCATCAGAGCCAAACTTGGCGAAAAGAGCTCGTTTTACTACGACAAGGATCTAAAGAAATGGGTCAACAAGAAAGACCCCGGTAGTGGTGCGCCGGTCCATTCCACCCCACCCCCTCCTCGAGGATCCGCTCCACCCAGTCGAACTGCGAGCTCGGGCAGCATACCACCCAACGGAGCACCTCCGATGCCCCCAATGTCGGTCTCTGGCAGCCGGCCACAATCTTCCTTAACCGCCGCTCCACCTTCCTTGTCCTCTAGCCCAGGCTTCTCTGGTCTCGCGCCTCGGTCTGTTTCTACGGGAGCGGCCATGCCAACACCGCCGGGTATTTCCAGCGGCCCGCCGCCACGGCCTTCTTCGTCCTTGACTCATGCTAACTCAATCGACGATTTGATCGGTGCGCCCCAGGCGCGCAAGGGCAATACTGTTCGCGGCAAGAAGAAGGGCCGTTACGTTGACGTGATGGCCCAATGATCATCGTATTTTATGTAAATGGCCCATGGTATAGTGTTTAGCAGTCTCCCGACTAGCTAAGCGACATAATGTCCTTTTCTTTCTATAATGTTTGTTTCTTTGTTATGACTTTTATCTGTTATCACCTAATTTCTTTGATGAAGCGCATCCCCCTACCCTTCAATAGTAAAACCCCCTGTTGCTAGATTTTTCATTGCCCCAGCATCCTACATGTGTCTTGTTTCTTGCCGTGGCAGACACACCATCTCTCTGCATTCTCGCTTGTTGAATGTCATCCAATATCTTGCTTTTGCACATAACTTGATCTTTGCTGTTCTTGGCGCGACCTCATCCATGAAATCAAGGGCTCGTACTCCTGGCTTTTTGTATAAAACCCCGTCCCCTTGCTGTTCTATTCGGGTCTGGCATTTTGCCACTTGCCGGAACTTTTGGGAACTGGAAGTTTCTTCTTGCATGGCTTCTGACATGCACCTGTCTTAATAACGATATCTACTAATCATTCCCACCTTTGAGCACCTGAAAATTTGAAGGACAAATATTAGGCAAATTTTACCACATCACAATATGGTGAAAGAATTGATGTAATACTGAAACGCGAGTGTTAGAAGGCTTGGCTGCTAGAGGAATGCAATGTTGGGACATAGCCCACTCACCGTTAAACAAGATTCCTCTCCATCCCGATTGCTTGGCAGATAAACGTATAGAACCAAGGCCATCTCATTTACGAAGCCTAACCACGACGAATGAGAACTTGAGTCAGCACTTGCACCAGTGACCGGAAATTCCAAATACAACATCCACTAGAAACTTACAGGCAACAACCTTCGGACTGAGTCTCCCTATACTGAGCACTCGACTCCAATCCTTTCCATCAATCCGCACCTTGGCCCAACCAGAATCGAAACCCTCACTCGCCTCCCGTTTCCGATTAAGCTCACTGGGCAGCTGGCTCATCTGCTCCTGGCTCATCTGCGCGGGGTCCAACGGCGGGTTTATGAGACCAGACCAGACACTCGCAATGCGCAGCTCATCCGTAGCAATAGCCAACCGTAGTGAGCCATGCATATTAGCAGATAATTCAAGCTTGGGAGACGAGTTGGTGGATAGTGCTGTGGCGGTTGTGTTAGCGCCCGACCCACTGAAAGCAACAGCGTGCATCCCCGGCGCTTCGGGCGCCATCACGCCCGGTTGGCGGCTTTTGCTATCTGTGGATGCGAGTTTCGTGAAGCGATCGGAAATGCTCTTCAACTGCGCCAGATTGGGTAGAATGATGTGCACTTCGGGGTCTGGGCAGTGCGGCTCGTGTAGGCCTTCGATGGCTGACTCGTGGAGGATCTTGATGGGAATTTCTTGTGTAATCCATGTCTGGCGCTCGCGTGGTCCTCGATCACCTGTCGTGTCGGCTGGAGCTTCTGAGATTGAGTCGTCGCCAAAGCCATCTGCGTTATGGTTGGTGGCCAAGGCCATGTTTCCCTCTGTCCATTCTGATGCAAGGACTGTTAGTGCTAAGAGAGGAATTTTGTCTTTTTTAGTTAGGCGGAGCTGTGTATGTGTTGAGCCCCAGGCGGAGCGCAGCGCTCGGTTTAGGACGCCGATGTTGACTTCGATGTTTATGGCATCGGAATTAGATTCTAGCTCGTAGGTCGTGTCATCGAAGATCGTTCCCTGAAAATTTGTCAGCACACAGATTACATGAGTGATAAGATTCATGTTATAATGCATACGACTGGTATTGATGCCCATACTGTGTGCCTTGGTCGGGTATGATGGTAAAGCGGATGACTTCGTACTCCAGGCGCATCCAACATACTTTGCCCAGCGAGGACAACGATGCGGTGAGCTCTGAGTCCGTTAGCTCAAATCCTTAATTCGAACGATTAGGCTTACTGGAAAAGGTCCTGCTGTCTCTTAATTGTGTTCGGAACCGCATTGTGTGAGTTGATCATGAAGGGAGGAGGATCCACACCAACTCATGTGCTTATCGGCTATCGTTTTTTTTTGTGGGCAGAGATGACGATTTTTACGTCTACAACTCTCCGCTCACAACTTCGGAATAGCTGGATGGTATTCAAAATTAGATATCCTCCGTGTTACAATCTTCTAGTTCACTCGGGTCAAGAGTCAAACTCGCAACCAAAGCTGCTCCTACTCCAGACCCATCCTCTGCCGAGTTCAGAGCAATCTTGTCCAACCTGTTTTCGCCCCAATCAAATATATCACGAAGACCCTGAGTTGCCCGTCCCTTCAACAAACTATATCTACTGAACACTGATCCGTCAACTCCAACGTGGCATTGACGGATCCCTTTCTTTTTGCAGATGGCCGCAATTCCACACGCGTAGAGACGCGCTGCACGCATCGCGATAAGGCCGATAAGAAGACGACACGCCTTCAGCTCCGCCAGCGAAAGTTCCAGATTGAGGCTCACTTTGAACTCCTCTTTCATGTCGGTCAGACTTTCTGACATGTCCATCTCGACATTAGACAGAAAGGACGTCTCCAATGAGTTCGCAGTCCGAAGACGTGAGACATCTTGCCCCTTGAAGAGTAAACCTCCCTTGTGCATTTCCAGCAATACCAGGCGCAGCATCTCTCCTATGTACAACCCAGCCACCATCTTCTCATAGATCTGCCTACCGGGATGGGCGGACTCGTCGTCGATCTGGCGGTCAAATGGAGTCAAGGGCAGTACTTTACGCTCGTTATCAAAGGAACCGTACTCGGTGTTGATGATTACAGTTGCATCTTCGGGCAGTCCTGAATCATGCAGCTTCGGGATCAATCGACATTCTTCCATGTACGCTGCATTACAGCCAGTACTGAAAATGCTACCAATCTTCACCTGCGGATCCCGGTAACGTGATGCGACAAGGGTCCCCGCTGTGTCGTTGACGAGGGCGACCAGTTTCACTGGGACGTTCTAGTTTGATCAGTCTTGACTCTCATGGTATTTAAAGTGAACGAAACCTTCTTTGCAAGTGCCTCTTCCAGCTGAGGTACCACATCGTGCCCTACCACTCCGGAAACGTTGAAGTTCTTGGTCCAGTGCTGCAGAATGCCGCTGCGGATAGACTTTTGGTCCACTGGGAATGAGAATGTGAACGCCATAGGTAGTGGGTTCGAAGCAGAAGCGCTGGTAGCAGCCTGACTTTCATGAAGAAACGATTCAATGCGGTCCGCAATAAACCCCCACAGAGCATCTTTCGTGGCTGTCTTGACTTCCTCTGGAAGCTTATATTTTCGTTGACGTTGCTCGAAGTCTCTCTTTCCCGCGGAGAGACAGACATCACACACACGGATATTGGTTCCTCCCAGGTCAACGGTGAGAATGCGTCCTTTCTCCTGGCCCGTCGGATAATTCATGATCCATGTCACGTTCATAGGCTTCATTTCACGCCAATATTCCAGTCAGCACCTGCTCAATATTCACACCTTCCTGGCCAATTTTTACTGACAATAGACCCACCCTCGACGGTAAGACCTTTCTCCAGCTCCTGAGCAAAGTGATCCGAGATCATCTTCAACCTGGGCGGATCGAGGCAAAACCAATTCTCATATTTCTTGAGCTCTTTGGTGAGCTCTTCGGGAAGACCTTCCACAAGTTCTGGGCGGTAGCGAAATCCTTGCATGATGATCGATGGCTTGGCAGAGGATCTTTCTGCAGCTCTGCAACCCTGCATCTCTGCAACTGTGAAGATTCTCGGGGATATTCCTTGGCCATCGGCTAGCAGGTGCGCCATCACTCCCGACAACGCCATCATGACCGCATAGTGATAGTAGATGTTGACCAAATTGGTAGTTTGTTTTGATTGTACTATATCAATATTCACTACAGAGACTAACGAGACTACAGAGTAAAGAGGAAATTATTGGACGCAAGTGTTCAAATTTTTTCCTCCTTGCGTCCCTGATTGAAGCTATTTTCAAATAGTCTTGTTTCCCCTTCCAGGAAATTTCGTTCTATCTTCATTCCTCACTGATTCAACATTGAAAATTGCGTTTGGTTTAACCCTCCGATATGCTGTACTGTTCCAAGTTGTAGATGAAATTGAAGCATTGTAGGAATTTCCCCCATAGTACGGCGGATCACCCGGCGATGGTTCCTTTCGGCAACTCCACTCAAGACCTTAGGGCCTTTCCCCTGATCAGATCTCCACTTCGAATGGTCCAAAATAAGTTCAACTTCAGAAAATCTTCCGAAAACTGTTATTTTGGTATCGTTGTGATCAGAAAGCCGGTCTTTCTCTCCTTGTCGCTCATTTGTGCCCACTTTGGCACCATCCACTCTCTCCGCAATCCCTCACTTCTCGTCTCTCACTTTTGTACTTTGACCTTCCGTGTCACCCTCCAATCGTTTTTCTATTTCTTTATCTTTCTGTTTCGAAGAGCTTATTGCTTGCTAAGTTCTGCACTTTCTTAAGACGCGCGTCTCAGCATGCGGGCTCGACAGTCCTCTTTCCCGCCCTCGTTCCGACGTCCGTCACTTACATGCCATCCTCGAGCCAGTCGAGGCTCCCTGTGACTTTACTCTCCCGACTTCGACCTAGCATCTATTCGGTATGGCGACCAATCGAATAAATCCGAATCGTCCTTCCATCCACCTCTCCCCATCCCACTCCCGAAGCAACTCGCGCTCAACCTCACATGACAAAGTCCCTGGCTCCATCTACCAACAACTCGACCCTCTCCTCAGCAATCTCTCCCCCGAATCAACTCTTCAAGCGCTCACATCAACCGATGCAGTCCCTTCGAACGAACAAGCCGCTCATGATATCCTCTCGCGAAGCATCTCCCAGGTGTCGCCATCCGAACGCGCCCTAGGGATACGCGCCGCGGTAGCCGCCCAAAACTTGAATCTGTGGCACAAAGAGGTCCAATCATGGGATTGGCCAAATCAGCGCGATGCGAAGGTTGGGATGGGTTTTATTCCTCCATCTGAGTCGCACCTTGGGGGGAATTTTATCCCTTCCGGGCTCTCGGCTTCCCCCAGCAATACTCAGGGACGCTACTACGGGAGCTTGTTAGCCTCCGTGGTCGAGGGATACGAGAGGAGAGCCGACGAAATCCGGGACGGAATGGAAGATCTGAACGTGGAAGAATTGAAGGAGCACGTTTTGAATGCCCACATTCCATCCAGGTCTCGTCCCTCGTCCGCCACAAGCTGCGCATCCGTGCCTCCGCCGCTCAGCTATGTTCAACTGAGTGACTTCACAGCTGTCATTACCGCGACCATCCTGCGAGCTCTCCCATACCTATCGCGACTGAACGCTCTACTTGCCACTTGGGAAGTTCGCATTTTTGTCTTGCGCCAAATTCCTGGTCTGCTGAGAGAGCTGAGCTTGACCCGCTCCGCCCTTGACTCCTCCCTCGAAGCCTTGCGAACCCCGCATTCTAGTGCCTCCAACCCGAGCGAATCCTCCGATGCATTCCTAGCTGCCGATCATGCTAAACTTGAGACTGCAGTCGTGGCTGTAGGGAGGCGGATGGACCGAGTTCTCGACGCGTTGGAGGGTCGTCCGGACTCTTTGCCCGAACAGTGGATTGATTACCTAGAAGCCATTGAGTCCGATTTTGCCATCTGGGTGGTAGAGGCTGGTAAATACAAGGTTCACAACGCGTGGCTGCGGTCAAAAGCCGAGGCTCAAATGGCCGAGATGCGCGCACCCGACCTCCAGCGCGCAGAGTCATCGAAGGAAACACGGCAGGACCCAACATCCGATACAGTAGTACCGGAACCTTCAGATGATCTCACTTTCAATCAGGAGCAAATCGTCGAAAATGCACCTGAACTTCAGTATGCTCTTGAACAATCAACGGTGCCTCTTGAAGAGACACCACTTCCTGCGGACTGTGTGGAAGGGGACACCTCGCCAAACCTACGACTCTCGACGTCTCTGTCAACATGTCAATTTGAAGAGAAGCAGGAAGACCTCACACCTGTGGTCGTGGCAGATGACCTAGACACACCAACACAGTCCCACTTTCCACCAGCTCCTGCCCATACGCCTGACGCAATTGATTGCACGTTGCAAAACAGTGAAGATTTTTCTCCGCCCGGCTTCCAGCAGCTCGACGGAGCAGTGCCATTTCTCAGCCATGCCTCGACAAGACCAATGCTATTGCCAGAGTGTAGTGCTCTGGCTGAGGAATCTTTCGCTCAAGTATCCACTGTGCCTGAAATCGAGGCCCCACTTACTGAGGTTGTCGTTTCTGCTGGTGTGTCTACCGCGGAAGAGCCGAATGACTCCGCTAGTCGCAAAGACTTGCCTTGTGAAACTGTAGCTGATCAAAAAGAAACAAACGTTGATGAGGATGAGAATCAACCTGCTCCACCCTCCAAATCTACCAAACTTAATCCTGAGCCTCAAACCGTCAGCTCTCCTGTTGCCCAAGATGCCGAATCCAGAATCGGGCCGAGGGAACAGAACCAGTGTGATACGCCGGTAGCAGCAACTATTTCTCCGGTTCTGACACCAAACAGGTCAGAAATACGAGTGCCGAAATCGAGGCTGTCTGGCCGAGTTTCTCAAATACCCATGCCTGTGGCGTCACCCAAGTCAGGCCCAAATCCTTTGCCTATGAAGTCTCACCACCCGCGGAACGAAGGAAAGCCAGAACCTTATCAGCGGGCTGATCGCAAGCCGTTACAGAGCCCTATTAAACTTTCCAAATACCGCCCAGGGATTCCTGATCTCGACAAAGATGGCACAGTGGCGCACAAATCTACGCATCGTCGTCGGACATCTACTGGGTCTGTGGGGTCTTTGCTTTCATACCACTCTTCCCTCATATCCAGCCCTGAAGTACCTGAGTCCCACACTGACTCCACTGACATAACGCCCCTTGGGACATCATCTCACCCCGGATCTATACACACTCCTTCGCATGGGGACCATACCCTGAGAGAGGATCGTTTGCGTCGCTTGGAAAATCAGAAGCCTGGTCGACGAATCTCTTTCCAGCAAAGTCGCGCTGTCAGCCTGCCCCTCGAGCGGTTTATCAACGAACGCTTGGGGTTGGACCTGGGAAGCGAGCCGGCGCCAGGTGTGACTGGCGTGAACACGTCTAGGACCAGGACATCCTCTGTAACATCTGCCGACTTCCCCAAACCACCAGAAGTATGTGAACGCATTATCCATTGACAATCTACTCATAACTAATTGATCATCATAGACACGAAACAAAATCACATTCCAGGATCCGTCTGCTGCATCCATTCCACCGACTCCACGTCTCCCTACTGGCCATCATCAACTGTCTCGAGGCAAGTCTGCAAGTGACTTGAGCTCTCAGAATGAGATGGCGAAAATTGCAGAACGAAATAAGAAGACTTTCGGGATGAATTCCGCCCGAAGAGCCATGGAGCACCTTCTTCAGCCCAAATCTGCCCGATGGCGACAGCGACTGACTGCTCATCCTAGTCTCGAAAGCCTGGGTGTGAAGAGACAAGAGTTGTCATATGTAGAAGAGCATGAATCTGAACTCACCGATTTCGGATTCCGTCCTCCCTCGCCAACCAAACACAGCAAGCAACCGCGAGACCAGCTCGATGAGAAAATCAACTCTATTCTCAACTCGCTGCCTGGCCATATCCATTTGGTGGATTCTAACAACGAAGCAGAGATATCCTCGTTATCGTCATCGTTGGACAGACGAATGCAGTATAGATCCGAATCCCCGACTGGCCCTACTCGCAGCAATACTCCCGCGCCTTCTCTGACTTTGATGCCCGCTTCTCGGAGACGGTACTCTCATGCCTACAAGACAGAGGACAGCTGTGTCAAACTTTATCACCTTCATCACGGGGGCCAGAACGCACCAACTAAACTTTTTGTTCGCACCGTTGGGGAAGAAGGGCAGCGAGTGATGGTTCGTGTTGGCGGTGGATGGGCTGACCTTGGCGAATACCTTCGCGAATATGTTATTCATCACGGCCGTCGTAAAGTGTCTGAAACCCCTCGTGTGGAGGTGCAGGGCATCAAACAACGTTCATCACCATCTTACGCTTCTCCTAGTTCTATGTTGACCCCGACTGCTTCGTATCTTGCCTCCGACCGGACTGCCCCCTCCCAGCTACCACCCGTGCTCAGTGCCCAGCCGCCTTCCTCCATTACCGTTCACAAGAAACGACGAGACTCAATCACGTCTGATGTAATGGGCACCAGGTCGGTATCAACAAGCCACCTATCCTCCTACACCTCATCTTCGCCGATCGTCGCCCCTCTCCCTTCCGCTACCGGCAGACGCCTTTCAGTGTCTTCGGGCTGTTCAGTTGGCGACACTAACTCCCCCAACAACAACAACAACAACAACAACAACAACAACAACAACAACAACAACAACAACAACAACAACAACAACAACAACAACAACAACACCACTACTACCTCCACGGCCACTGAAACCCGCTCAACTCCACTGGGATTAGCTGGTCCCAACCCACGTGCTCGGCACGAATCCATGAGCCCGGAGGGTGAAGCCTGGGTTGCAAATGTTCTCCAAAAGACCCGCCGCTCTAGTTCCAATAACCCACCTCAGTTCGCACTAAACGTGCCGCCCAGCCACGATGCCGATGACCGATTTGAGATTGTCGACGGCACTGTGAGTGGACACTCCTTGCCCAAAGTCCGCAGCATTGGCGATATCGGATTTAATGGCACAGGCAAGCGGGTCGCGCTGAAAGGTCTACGGTCTCGCAGGCCGTAATCTTTGACAAAAGTGATCCTTCGCACATTATTTCTCATCATCTTCTTCTTTTTCTTCCCACATTTTTCCCTGTTCTTACATATTTTCCAGCTGTGGTGGGTCTGCAGTTATTTTCCTTCGCGTTATCCTGGGCTTCTTCCAGGCTCTGGGCTTTTGGACATTTGGACATTTGGCTGTACATGTTTGGCACCGTCCTTTCACATCTCGGGGGTTTCTTTTCTCTTCTACTTGCATCAGCGTGGCGAATCTGTGCTCACTTGTTTTTGTGTTTGATTCGGGATTTGGTGTGGTGTTAGAGCTCAACAATACCCTACCGTTTTTTTTTTGGTGATCGTGGTTTTTTGAATTTACAGATAGTTCAGACTTTGGATTCGTTTTTTCTCCAAACTACGCCTAGTGGACTCTAAAATCACTTTCTCGACAACCTTTAGAAAGGGATTCCCAAATTGATTCAAGTCTAGCAGACAGGAAAGATCGACGGATACGCCTCAGAGACATCTCTTCATGTGAATGTCTCCCTGAAGACTAACTACCCTTTACTGTTGCCACCATGAAATCTCTCTCAACTCTCGCATTGGATCTCTCAGTTCTCGCTTCAGAAGATGGTGGTTAGTTCGATGTTATTGGTATACTTGAAAGAATCAAGATTCGAGATTACCCTTCCTCATGTGCCGCGGTTTCAGCTTCATCCCCTTCCCGTAGTAACGCGGCAGCTCTTTCAGCGCCCAGAGTGGCCGTAGCCTCTACTACAGCCAACGTGTTCCACTCTCCGTCCCTTTTCTTTCTGACCCCTCCTAAGGACCCGACTTCGGCTCCTCGTGGTCCGCTTCTACGCTTCGGGCTCTATCAGTCCAAGTTCCCGATTTGGGAGGCTCTCTCGTGCAATAAGACCACCACATCTCTAGTGGCCATGGTGTCTTCCAGCGCACTGTGACAACCTTTCCCGACTTGAGTTTGATAAAGGTGCGCCGGAAGGGCCGTGTGAGGGGGTCTGTAGACCGTCGCAGCACGCAGAATCACGCACTCGATGCCTGTCGAGTGTATGAAGCCCATGGCACTCGCATGAGCACATTTTTCACCCGCTATGACAACCTTCTTTTCCCTTTCTGTTCGGAGGCCTTGCATCGTTCCTTCTTATCTACGCTGCCTTGAAAAGCCTCACGGGGGGACTCGGTTCTCAGAGTGTCTTTGACGGTCTCCATTTTTGCACAGCTCGTCTGCTTCAGTGGCATGGCGTGGCACAGAGGATGAAACGATGTTCCGAGGTATCCTGCGCACATCTCCTGACTGTGGTCGATGGGTCTCCTCGGTTTGGGATCCTCGCATGGCGCGTAAATATCTAGTGGAAGCATCATCCCTTGCTCAAGCAGACGAACTAGCGATTTTATCCCCAGGTGTGAAAGCTCGCTACTCTCTCAATTTGCGGGGGAAACACAAATCTGCCGGTAGCATGGCACGAGCCAATCCAACGCCCAGAAACCCTTTTGATGCTGGATCTCGCTATCTCGTATCTGGTGTGTTTCTCGCGAGTTCGCGAGAAGTAGTCCCCTCCTGTTTGTGTCAATCTTAGGGCACTGGGTTTCATTCATGAAGACTCCGTGTTGGAAGGCATCTTGGTCCGGGCTGTTGACCATGTTGAAGACCTCAAATAAAAAACACCGAGGAAAAAAAGGACAAATTGAGGGGTGGATAAAGAAGCAAATAGAAAGGAAAGGAGAAGGAGAGATATGCCATTCAAGATAGTAAATGCGTAAATTTGTCATTTGCAAGTTATTCGTAGGGTTTTTTTAGGAAAATAAACCGGTCAACAATCAAAGTGCAGGTGCCAAATGGAGAAATGAGGATCAAGACCTAGAACAAATAGGTAAAGCCTTTCACTTGCATTATAGTCATGGCTAAGAGAACTTGAGATGTGATCGTTTCACTCTCAGAAAATAAGGATCAGGTCGTGGTTATTGTCTGAATTCTAATAGACTCTAATCTCAGCAGGAAGATAAATCAGATGCCATCAAAGTGCAGCTTTAAGCTGTTTAAATCTACAGAGCGTGTTGGATTCAGGATATGAGCGTGGAGGACCTGATGCATTCACTGTGCTGCAAGCTCATATCCCCCAAGAGCGAAAAGAAACCACGATCGAAGCGATGGACAGGCGAGGAATTCGCGCAGATGGTATTTGGTGAGCAAGTAGTGAGGGCACTGGAATGAAGCCGGCTTCTATAAGAGACTCCTTTTTTTTTCTCCAAAGAAACTATAGGCGTCTTGACCGTTTGGGCTGTACAAGGGTGTTTGTTAATCCATTCCTCGATGGCGCACACGAGCACCTCACAGTCATTAAAGGAGGTCTGCGAAGCAAGGGCTGGCCGAGCCGCTTGCTAGACTCTGCTGGGGGCTGTTCCATAGGAACGCAATTCTGCTCTCCTTTCGTATAGTTGGCCCATTTCTGGCGCTCTGCGGGTATCTGGCACCGTTTTTCAGCCAAAGACTGCATTGCTGGCAGGGTGGCCACCTGCACAGTGGAGGCAGGCGCCCAGCCGAAAGGTAGTGCCGTGGGCCGAGGGCACCAGCGCCCATCTCAATAAACCAGAACGAGAGCGAAGGCTCGCAAGGGCCTTCAATTTTAGGACAATACAGTTTAGCGATGTCAACCAGGGTTGATTGCCACTTTATAACTGACATCTCCCGCTCAATAGGAGTTGTGACGAGCCAGTTCGGTTGCGTAAAGCCTGGTGCATTTATGCAAGGCCCAAAAGAAGATCATAGGGGTTCGCATTGATGATGTAACATTGCACAAAAAAGCACGCACTTCTGCAATATTCACTAGCAGATGTACTTACCGTTTTAGAATAGTGGTATGATTGTCCGCTAGACTAATTCCCTTGCCGTTGTCGGTGTAGATATTCGAGACAATCAAACAGATCTCATCAGTGACTCTCGAGATCAATTCCACTAGCGATCCTCCGTCAAGCAGGGTTCGTGGGATCTTTTTCCAACACCACAGGCGGTATCTGTATCCCTTGCTTGTCAATCTTGGAATCGGAGACAAAGTGCGTGGACTCAAATAAGGCATATATGGATTGACTGATAGAAATGGTGGTGGGAACAGTGTGATGGTAATATTTCAGCATGACGTTGTTGGTTGATGGTTCACGTAACTGACAGTTTATGAATAAGACAAGATGAAGAAGAGGGAGAAAGAAGGAAAGAAAGCACACGGGGACAGCGATCATTAAATAGAGGACACGTGAGATTATTGGAGATTATGAGTCAGGTGTTTGCCGTATTGGGAAAGCCTGATATCTCTCAGTTGACCTTTCACTTCTTCCAGATCAAGACCGATTGACCATCCTTCACAATTTCCATTTGTATAAGAAAGCAATTTGACTCTCATGGACTTTAATTGTATCTTAAGAGAGCAAAGAAAGGGTTTACAATTGTCAGTAATCTAACAAATGAATGAGCTGAAACTGAAAGACTATGCAGAATACTACCTTCAGTCAGATCATATCAGATCATATCCACACATATGGGAGCAAAGAACTCCACTAGGTAGATGAATCTAGAGGGGTTCTTTGTTAAAGATCTAGTTCATCTCCGGAAGATCGGCTTGGGTCGAGTGGACACAAAAACAAATGACACTACGCTTGGAAGGGGGAAAAACACCTGGTTGAAAGACGTTTTTTTTTCCATTTTGAACCTTCTCGGTACATTGGATCTGTACTAGGTGTAGTTCTACTACATCCGACTATTGTAGACATCTACAGTTGCAACGAAAGCCCATGATGCAAAATCATCGATTGTATTCAAATGCTGGTAAGTAAAAACGTTGCATAATTCATTTCCAAGGAAAAAGTGCGATCTGAAAACACCCTGATCCAGTCAGTACCCTTCGTTACCACTCAAAGACCATTTCGTTAAAAAAAAAAAAAGACAACGGAGAGTGTAGATGAGAAAATCGTAAATCATGAAAAGCCAGGATTTGAGAATATTGCAAGGAAAGCAATGACTCAGTCCGAGGGGCAGGAAACCCATATCAAAAGAGACATCCAATCACAACATCATAGCACCTGTTCCAATCATGGAGCCTGATGGCGTTTCCAGGGGATGTCTTTTCGAAGTAAGACACGTAGCTCTGGGGAAACCACTTTCGGCTTGCCAGCATCGATTGCCTTTTGAAGATTAGAGGGGCCAGCATTGACCCCGCTGCTTGATCCAACAACAGTTGGAGACGCCTTTCCGGTTGCGCCTGGACGACGCTGGTGGGCGATTGGAGCTGTGGGGAAGTTTTCTTTCTTGTCAATGGCTTGTACAGAACGCTCAAACCGGTGGAAGAGCGATTCTGCGCGGGTGAGAAGAGGTACAAGATCCATAGTGTTGGAGAGTTCGTTGACTGGAGATCGCAGCGTTAGTAATTTGGAATCAAGTTGACGTCCAGATGTCAACTTACTGTATTTCAGGACTTCATCAAAGTGCTTCAGATGATCCATGATTGCATCTCGGTGTTTCTCGAGAATGGCAAGCGCAATGAACAGGTGGAAGCTGCTAGAGAGATAGTCGGTCCACAGTGTCTCCCATAGACGCAGGACATCGCTCCAGTCAAACTCCCGTTTGTACCACACCAGCAGCATGCGGAAGAAAAAGAAGAAATTGGTACACTCGGCGGACTGCAGGTGCAAGTAAAGCTGTGGGTCCATGAGCTGGACGAGGTTATCCAGTGCTACTAGTTGGCCACGCATTCCAGACTGGTCACGGAGGAAATTATATTCCTATGCGGAGACATTAGTAAGACGTTTCTGCTTTTTTGGCATCGTCGAAACCATACCATTCGATCCATGAATCCGACAAATCCCCAGAAAGCTACGGCGTCATCTTGCATCACCGCATAGATTGGTGCCAGGAGATCACTCATTCCTTGGACGTATCCAAGATCAGGGTTGAATTCATTATATGTCAACAGCATATCCTTCAACTGCTCCAGGTGCACGTTGGTGCCCGTCTCGGCAAACGGAGAATCAGGGTCCGGATGAGGGATGTCTTCGCCCGCAAACAAAGGAACTGCACGGTCTGTGCGGTGAACGTCCTTCTCTGTATCCATGGGTTAGTGGCCACCATGTCAAAAGTCAATGTGTAGTCTCACCTATCCGATTCTTCTGCTCTTTCCAATGATCAAACTGCTCGATCGTTGAGTTCCCCTCGACCATTCGCTCCCACCAGCCTGCCTTCAGCCGGATATACTCATCGCGCCTGGAGTTCATCATCGCTTGGCGCTCTTCGCGGCTGCTATCCCACGAATACACACCGAGGAGGAAAAGCCACGCCTCCTTTCTGACGCCATCATTGGGATCCAAGCCACCATGGAAGATCCGCTCCTTCACTTCCTCCGTCGTGACTTGAAGTCGACCTGAGATTGGGTCGAAGAAGCCCTCCCATTCGTTCAGTTGGAGAACCCGGCGTCGCTCCTGGAGAGCCAGGTTCCCGGTCTCCAGCTCTAAGATCTCAAAGTCGCCAACCGAGCTATTCTCCATTTCCAGCATATCCTGCGCAGTCCATATGCGCTGGTTTCGCTCTTTCTCACTCTGCTCGGCAATAGTCATCGCCCACCGAGCCAGATAGACCCTAGCGCTGTCAAACTCGTTTTGCAACGTCTGGATCTCTGGATTCTTCATTAGGCGGCGCATCTGTGGCGGGATGCGAGGATTGTCTGCTATGTCATTGGCAGTCCGACGGGTAAAAGTGGTGATTTTGCTGAGCTGCTCCAGCACTTTCCACCGTGTTTCCTTGAGAGTCTTCATAAATGGATCCATGCTGGCATCTGGCGGTTCGGCTCGGGATCCGGCAGCGGCGGCTTCGGGCTGTGCCGTTGCTGATATTGCTTTCTCCTGACTCACCGGCCGGCCAAAAGACAGCTGATCCTCATCCGAAGGGTTGACGAGGTAGACGTTGCTGTCGACGGCAGAGCGCTGCACCTCCACATACCTCCGCAACCAGCGCAGCACTTCATCACCGCCCCAAAACAATCCGCCTTCTTTGCCAAATGGATCGAAGGTTTCTTTGACCCTCTTCCTCTTTTGCAGGATGGTTGACTCGCATTCGTCGTCATGGAAAAATAACGCGGGGAAGCCATCGCCCGCTCGGGTATTGAGCACCAAACTCCCATACCACCATCCTAGGCTTGGCGGTCGTACTAGTAGGGAGAATATCTCTGATAGCGGAACTGCAAAAGAATACAATCCGATGGGATCTTTGTAGGTGGTGGTGGTCGGAAGCGGCGGAACCAGGTACTTCTGGCGCGGCGGAGAGTCACCTTCAGAAAGGTCGACTTTCACATATGTGTCATATGCTTCTCCGAGGGAGGACTCTGGAACCCAGGCGAGGAGATATGAGGGTATGTCGGGTTTTTTGGTTTGGGATGCGGATGCATGTGATGCGGGGAGAGGTTTTTGCTGGATGAGGGCGATGAAGCCAGGGATATTATCTTTGGAGGAGGAAGTTGGATGGACATAGACCTTGATTACCCTGTTAGTCGGGTCTTTCTCTTTGATGGAAATTGTCTCACTTTGCTTTTTGAGAAGAGCAGCTTCACCCCTCTACTTGAGGCTGCCTGGGTGATGGTGTTGTATTCATCTTCGTCGTCGTCGCTCATATCGTAACAAGATGCTGGAGGTGACGGTGTAGGAGGAGGCGTGTATTTGATCGGGGCCATGATGGACACTTGGGAACTTGAGAATTTGCTTGGAAGGCCCAACCTTTCCAGTTGGAAGAAAGTTGGAAATTGGAGACGACGTAATTGCTCCCGATAAGATAGGGACCGTCTGATTTCCCTTCCAAGGGTATATACACCTTCAGGTGGTGTGAGATATGTGGGTGATTATTCTCTGTCTTTCTCTGGCAGATCTTGAGATGAGTTCTTTACAAGTCTTGAATCTTTCGTTCTTGTTCCTTTTGCTCTTTCGCCTCCGGTCGCCACTCTCGGATCCTCCAGGCAGCCAAATTCATCAACCCACAGAAGAAGAAACCGGAATCACTTGCTAGCTCTACGACAAGTGTGCGATGCAAATATCATTTCGTTCCTTGTGTGGAGGTGTTCAAGGTGTAATTCCGACCTCCATCTGTAGGTTACCCAGATCACACACTACGGAAGAATATAGTCGACCACTTATACGGCCGCTGTGAGAATCGGCTCCATGTCTTTGGGGCCAGATAATATTCTGAACAATATATCTAAGAACATCACAAAAGGAATCTCTGTACTTCTTCTCCAGCCCTTTCTACAATGTCGATGGCATTTGTAGATGGTCTTCAATGCATAAAATGGCTGCATAAACCCCGCAGTGGATTTATGTATCATCGGGGATTGAAAGCACAGGGCGTAATTAAAGGATTGAAGCAACTCGGGAAATCATATAGGAAACACTGGTTTGGGGACTTTGATCTTCATTGTCCAATGCTAACTTGAGCATGGACATACTAAGCCCCATTCATCTTAAGATACCGATCTATGCCTCACCCTTTCTTTCTGATCCGCCTCTGAATCGAAGAACGTTATGTTCGCTGATGATCTGTTCGTCTACGCCGTCAATAAACCAGACAGCAAGAAACGGTGGGAAGCACTTCAGAGCACGACAGGAACTTTGGATGCCGAGATTCAACTTGAAGATCCATATCTCTTGACCAAGCAAGGGTGAGTAATACATGATCTTTCAAGTCAAGACCGATTGCTGAACTATGTTGTAGATCTCCGAGCGAGTGGACTAACTCACATTTGATCCGGAAACATCAGGGTCGTTTTTAAGGGTCTAATTCCATTCAACAGATCAACGTCAAATCAGAGAGTCCAGCTTGGGAGTAGACAACGCTCGGGCGGATCGAAGGGGGGCAGTTCCTCCCAGCCACGCACAAGCCAGAAGGAAGTACTCGATTCCAGAGAGCAGATCAAGATTTTTGCCGACTCCCATCTCTGTTTTGGGTCAACCTGCTCATTTATCTATGAGCGTGGGGACCAGAGATAGATTAGCTGCGAGAAGACCGGTCGTACAATATACACTGCTCTGTTTGTTTCTCGAGCAATTTCAACACACAGAATCCGCAAAAGAACGATACCATTGTGGATGGGAAATTCGGCAATAAATGTGAAAACTAAGGACAAAATGACGACAATCCAACAGACACGAACAAATCCAAAAAGAGGTATATGCAGGAGGCCCACTCCCCGGCTTCACACAACACAGAAACGCCAGTCTCTCTACTAGCACCGGGCCGAGACAACCTCTCAGCTTCGGCGATTCGAGCCCCCCCTTCGCACAGCCTTCGTGATCAAATTGCTAGAATCCCGGACAGGACCAAGAATTTGTCTGCCTCCACTCCGGCCAGTAATACGACTTGGCCTATTCCTCCTCATAGCCTCTGCACGAGCCGCAGACGTCCCAGCACCATCTTCATGCATCCGCAGCACATCAAGCTCAGACAGTCTGCGTAACTGAGGGCTTTGGGGGTAGCGTCCACTACGGCGGGGGCGCGAGGTATCCCGCGAGCTGCTCCGAAGCCGCCGCGTCCCTGTTCCGATGCTGTGTCTGAGGACACTCAGATCGCTATCACGGATGAACGCTTCCAGCGCCAGATGCCATTCGCTTCCCGGCCAGAAACGAGAAAGGCGACGGACGAGCGCTTGCATCTTGCGCACGGCGAGAAGCTCCATCACATTCTGCGTAGGATCGGTGGCTCGGCCATCGGCGAGCATGCGTTTGTGCGATGCTAGCCCTTCGGCGATCTCGGTGCCGAAGATCTTGCCGCGTTCGTTATCAAAGAGCCTGTCCGGTAGATGGGAGAGGATGATGGAGAATATCTCGCCGCTGTGAAGGGATGAGCTTCGAGCTGCGCAGATCAAGGCATCCCCCTGTGGGCCTCCATCCAGTCTGGGCTGCGTGGGATCGCACTTCTGGCATAGCCAATCGATTGCGGCTGGTTCATCGAAGCATGCGGCGTACATCAGCGGGTTCATGTTTTCTGCGTTCCGGACCTCTGCGTTGAGCATGGAGAATTTATCAAGCCAGTCCATGAAGTCGGCTCCTGCCGGGTTGAAAGCTGCTGCGATGTGCCAGGAGGACTCTAGCTGTCCGCCGAGTTCGTGGTACTGGTGCTCGACATTGCCAATGTTAATTCCGTGTTGGTAGAGTGCTTCTGCCACGGGCACAGGTGCGACAGCGCAAAACTCGTGCATCGCGGCTTCGTGGAAGATCGTGCGAAGTTCCTCGATCGGCACAAGTCGTGCCTGGCGTAACCTGTTCAGGGCAATCACAAATTGCGGAAATGCGCCTACTCCAACAAGGGAAAGAAGAATGTGGTTCTCGCAGGGTTCTCTGATGTCTCTGGGTTTGACCAGATGTGGAGGATCCGCATTGCTGACAATGTAAGTGAGCAAATCCAGATTGGGACCATTCAATCCTGCCTCAAGCCAGCTTCTCCCAGATAAGTCATAGCCATTGGGGGTGACAATCCCGAACTTGACCAGGAACTCTAAGCAAGCAGAGCATTGCAGTGCGGCATTGTATGCAGGGTGAGTCTTGAATGGATGGTTATCGGTTTCTCTTGGGAACGTGGTGCAATCCGACAAATGGCCCATTGCATCCTCATAATTCGCGTAGGATCGAATCAACTCCTTCCATTTTTCAACGGTCCCAGCTCGTCTTAACCATTTTTCCACACTCGCTTTGAGAGGTCCATTGTGTCCCACAAGTCCATGTAACGCGTGGATCTTCTTTTCCTCCATATATCGAACTCCCACTGAAAACCCAACCATTCTGTCGAATATGATCTCGAGTGCCTTCTGAGGAAGCTGGGCAAGAGGCAACTTGGTGGCCCATCGAATTTGCTGTGCTGCGGTTTTGTTGTCGACTTTGCTTGGCCAGGCAACCTGAAGCACACCACCTTTGACGTTTCCACTTTGCAATCGGTCGAAGATGACTCCCCAAACCGCTGGACCCCAAGACTCCAACCATTTTTCGTTAAACCCGACCATAATGGATAAATTTGGGAGGGTGTGTTTTGAAAATTTGTGAAAAATCCTCCAAGCTGTTGACAGGTAGGGGATTTAAATCTTTTTCACCCCCCCCCAAGCCCTGGAACGTCGGGATATGACAAGGTTCTGCATGTTCCTTTCATAGAAGGATCTAAGGAGAATAAGAAGAGATTTGTCCGCCGTGATTGGACAAGAGGTAATTGAATTTTCTCCTAAAATGGCTTATAGGGACGGTTCTACGAGCACACATGAACAAAGAGTTGACGAACCACCCTCTTTTTCTGCAGCAATTTAGCCTACTAAGCTCGTATTCATCCGATTTAGATATTTAAAGTGGAAAATTGAGTCCAGTTTTAAAGGTCGAGTCTTTGGTGAGCCCTGTGTGCATTGATTCTAAAGGCCGAACAGAGAGTGGAGGTCGTCAAGTTCATATCTGTGGCCTCAAGTCCACATTTTCATGTTCAATCTGAATGCTTTAAAAGCATCATTCACGAGTAATACATAGTCATCAAAGAGAATTGAGGTCTCGAAGGTGGTGGGAAACGGGACTTCAATCGAGTTCTTTAAGAACAAAGAGGTCCTTTCACCACCGAAAAGTGACATCGCAATATTTCGCAATTTCTCGACCCAAATTGAAGTGAAATAGGAAATTCTACTCATTAGTCCAGCTAAACTCAAATCGCTAGGCTCAGTTTTGCTTGCTCGAGCCCTGCAATCTACATTACAAGTTCGCTAGTAGCGGATCTAGATACTCAATTGGAAACAGGAAGATGAAGATCAGTATCGACTTTGGAAGCGATTTGCCCAATGCTAGCTTCGACAAAGCAATGGGAATATGCAAGATGAACTAAGAAACCAGTTGGGGTGATACCCAGAATACTATCGACATAGACCTGTAGGTGAGATGCCTGACCCTTGGAAATATGACAAGAATTAGAATCGATCTATTTATAGTGTTATCCTCTACAGACTGGGTGGAGGCTCTGGACACAACTAGAAAGATTCCTTAAGATTTCTGCAAGACAACGAATCTTCGTCGCCACTTAAAAGCAACCTAGTGGTCTTTCCTTTGACTGCTCCCGTAGGTGAAGGCAAGTAGAGTCATCATTGACTCCCCATAAATCGAACACCCTTGTAAAGTGAGATACAGTGCTATTAAAACGTTGAAAGATGGCGTACAACAAATACATGTAGCAGATATGGTTATGAGATCTAGCTTACCAGCCGTGAAGATCTATATTTTCAGGTACATTTTGTCTAGCGTGCCCATACAAAAGGTACCAATACTTTAAAATTCACCCCGTTTGTTTTACTCGACCCGCACTATCATTTTAGGCATCCTTTTAGATATAACAGAGTTCTAATTAATTTCGTTTCTATATACATATAACAGTGGTAGATAAGCTATCATTAAAGTAGTATGTTATAGAATATTGAAGACGTATACTCCCTATGTGATCTGTTCAAATACCCACAGTAGACTCTGACCAAGCTCATGCAATTCTGCCCCCACCATTATTCAAACATTACCGGAAGGGATACAGGAACACTAATAGATCATCAAAATGTCTATACAACGAACGATACAGAGTACTAGGACTACCAGCCGGGTTTTAACATGGCGTGCTGACTGTGGTGTCTAGGGTGTACGTACGGAGCACAGACCAATTTATCACAAGTTTATCTTATTCACGGTTATAGTGAGGGGCTAGAATGCACCGGGCAATAGGGCAATCATAACGATCGCCTTACATCTATTTCATAGGATTACTATCGCATATCATTGGCCCAAGTTAGCTATTCGTATCCATCTTACTACTCACTTCCCCTGACAGTTCGTATCAAACACGAGACTTAGAATACCATTCACACCTATCAGAGCACAAGAGGACACAACGTTTGATACAATTGTGACTATCGAAATGGCCATTCAAGTAGAGATCAGAAAATCCCCCTTGGACATCAACACGATTACTCCGTATCTAACGACGTACTTAATTGGGAATTGGGGGGGGGGGGGGTTGGTCCCAGGGGATCGCTGTTTAGCTGCAGCACAATGACCCTATAATTGACAGAATTATAAGTGATGGTCAGATGTTTGGTTAGAAGATCATCTTGAGAAACGACATACTACAGACGGAATGTTGGAGGACCACCTGCTCACTTGGGGGGGCCGTTAAAGACGAGATCAACCGGACCGGGCCTATCCTACGCGGAGTTAGACCTACCTAAGATCCTTCCCACTCCGAGATTCTTTTCGGTTTCATCTTTGCCAACTTCCATACTTGCAAGAGAAAAACCGAATACAAAAAAAAAGTCGTTGGTGGGTTCCTTGGTCTTTACTCTATGCAGCCACAGCCAGAACGAACTATTTTCAACAAAGAAACCCTTAGACTTCGCCTCCACAAGTCGGCTTTCACTGAGACTCCAATCCATAGTATGTTCGAGGGTAGGGAAATGTGATTGGGGACTTTGGGCAACATCATGACATGCTAACAAAAAGCACGGACAGCCTAAACCGGTCAACAATGCCCCACGAAGAAGAAGACAGAACGAGAGATGAATTATTGGCTGCTGCTGTCGCCTTTTGGGCCTCGTGACTCTTCAAACAAGAAGACCAAGACTTCAAGTCAAAAGAAACTAGCTTTTCGTCGTCCGTCGCTGAAGTGTCTAAGGAAACCCTTCAGTCTGGAAACCAAAGTCACAGCTATCCGAGGCAGTGTTTCACGTCAATCGAGTCCCACAGTCAATAAAGACCTACAGACAATGCCGACATACGTGGACATCCATGGCCTGTCTGGGGCGGTCCCAGGGGCCCCTGCTGAACACATGGCAGCCGACAGTAAGAAGACTCCAGGCCAATCACATCACATGGGTCTCAAAGAAGACGATATCGCAGGCAGGGGCGCCGGGGACACTCGTTCGACCTCCCCGCAGAAATCTCTGTACACTAAGATTGACTTGGAATCACCTCGAGACTCTGAAGATGATTCCGAGATTTCTTCGTTGTCGGACTGTCCCCATCCACTGCCTTCAGCTTCCCGCTTGGTCCGCTTCTTTCCAGAGTTATCCTCGCACTTCGCCATTTTCTCCCCGGTCAGCGCTGATTCCAAAATGGACCACTCGACCGGGCCCTCTCTTTTCGAACGAGAACTAGAAGAACGCGTGCAGGCCTTATACCGAGGCTCTGCAGACGTCGCCCCCGATGCACATGAGTTCGCCAACCAAATACAGATCACCCTCTCGTCTTCTGTATCTGATGAGACTTTGGATTATGCTTCATCGTGCTACAGTCATCGGAGCTCGGTGACTAGTGTCGGCAGCACGTTCTGGGGAGACGATGGACAACACCCTTACAAAACGGCTGATGCATACTCGATATATTCCCCTGTCGCCGCCGGTGTCTTTGACGATGATCGCTCCATCTCTTCCTCACGGCCTTCCCCAATAGTGGCGCCCTGCCACCTCCATGTGTCTACCCTCACCCGTCCAATCCCCATCACCAAAAAGGTATCTACAAATGATCTCAAGAACAAGCCCTTACCACTGGAACCATCCTTCGGCCCCAGTTTAGCCCTAAGTCATCCATGTTACTCTCCCCTTTCCACAGTGTCGCCACGCGTTAAGCCACAGTGGTCAACACAATTCTCTAAGAGAGACTCGCTGCGCTCGCTGCAACACCCCGCGACGGTAAGCCACAGCAACTGGAAGCATTCCATGTTACACCAGTTTGAAGGCGAGCGAGAATCAAAATATCCGTGCCATACATGCGGACACAGTCAGCGCCAGGGCCGACAACGGTCAGAACTGGTGCGAGCTGGTCATCGAGCTCGCCATGTCCCAACGTTGTCGCAGGCCTCCGAAGAACTCGAGGATGCCCTCGTGAGCTTGGCTGATCAGGACTTGTCGCCCAATACCGATGGGCCGTTACAAATCAGCCGCCACAATGGGGACCTGATTGCTACTCGGCCCGCACCCCTCCCTCCTTCCATGAAGCCTCACTCGCAAGCTCCGAAAGTGAAGGCAATGCTTAAGAACAGTCGGGTCAGCACAATCAAATCAAGAGCCCCAAGTCCAGCCAACGAAACAAGCCACAAACTCAGCAAGAGGGAGGCGAAACACAAGCGATTGAGCAGGTATAAAGAGAAGGAGATGGTTGAAGAGACCGACGCCAGAAATCCTTCAACTTTCAAAGAAACTGCCAAAAAGGCAAAGTCAAAGAAATCTTTCCTAGCCTTTCGAAAGCAAAACTCAGTGTCGCGCGATGCAATGAGCGTCAGCTCCCAGTCGGAGGATTCTTTGTACACGACATTAGAAGCGCAATCTTCTGATCCCCTCGATCTGGCCCCCATGCGCAACAGCCTGTTACTTCGATTGCCTCGTCTACAAACTATTGATCCCCGAAATCCCTTGGATCACTTTGCGGAACAAGCAGCGTTGTCAGGTAACCTCGGCCAAGTCGCCATGGAGAACGTGAAACTCAAGGAGAAGCCCATCACCTCTAACATCCGTCAGAGCTGGGCTTTGGTCTCGACGGCTCAAGCAAGCAGCGTCCAACTCACTGAACAGATCTACGAACTTCCCGCTACTTCGCCTTCACCTTCACCTGCGCTTCCTTCTGAGGTCGAGCGCAGTTTCCCAGTCAACATCCCCCTCCCCGAAGATATGCCGGTGGATTTGATTCTATCAATCATGCAGAGCATCGATTCTCTAGATGACCTTTTCAACTTTGCCCTCATTAACAAAAAGATCTACAGCGCGTTCAAAGGTCGCGAGCTGTTCATGCTGAAAAATGCCCTGTTCAAAATGTCCCCGCCGGCTTGGGAAATGCGCGAGATGAGTCCGCCATGGGAAATGGAGTGGCAGCTACTTGTAGATCCCGACTCCCAGGTTCCGGAATACACGCCCACACTGTATCTGCAGAGGTACGCGCAGGATATCTACACCCTCGCCAAGCTAAAGGCGTTGGTCCTTGCGCGATGTGCCCCGTTCCTCCGTCGTGATACCATTCGTGGTCTGGCGGGTGTGGATAACATCCGCGCCGAGGAAGTAGACGATGCCTTTTGGCGACTCTGGACCTTCTGTCGAATTTTTGGATGTGGTAAGGGCCGGGAAAACGATCTCACTGGCCAAATGGACTGGTTAAAGGGGGGGATCCAGGCGAAGAATTATTTCACCTCTGCCTCGACAATGACACAGCCTTTTGGCATCAATAATGTTCTGTTTGAACCGCCCGAGGGATTCGGTCGTGGAAATCTTTCCGGTCTATCGCAGAAGCAGATGTACGATCTGACGGAGATCTGGACGTGTATGGGTGTTCTATTGCAGCCGTTGCATGGAAAGTGCATTGAAGCTCGCAAGATCGGCATTTTTAATGGCATGAACGTCCCAGAAGGTGACCTGGCTCGCGAAGAGACCGTTCTCGGTAAGTGAAGTCATCACATCTGTACATTGGATCACAGCTGACTCGAAAATGCAGAAGAGTGGACTTCCTACATTCTCACGCTCGGTCTAGGCGCAGTGTTAACACTCAGCGCAGTCTGCCCAGCCGATCCCACTGCCGCCACATTCACCAAAGCAAAGGAAATCGGTCTCGCCAAATGGGAATTAACCGAAACCGAAGCGAGTCGATCCGCATTCTTGAAAGAAGCAGTCTCACGCGCCTACGATCTTCAAGAACGCACCTTCGACAGCCCGACCGATCTCAGCCTGCGAAGAACGCGCCCGGCCGAAAATGACCGGGAGATCCGTGAACGCCAAGCTGGATTCGCTCACGAGCTTCGTCGTCGTCGCCGTAAACGCGGTCTCGATCCAGATCCCAAAGGTCGCCTTTCCTTCTCCGCCGAACGCCCTATGTCGGGATTCAGCACTATTGTTTATAATCTCAATGCTTCGCTTCAAGATCACCGGCCCATTCCATCTGTGCCTGCGCTGGTTCTTGACAGGTCCTCGACTTCGACTGCTGGAACGGCTCCTCAGACCCCGACTCGCCTGTCCGACCCTGTCGGTCTCTTTGCTTCGTCGTATGCTCCCCCACCGGTTATGATGCCTCTGCCTCTGTCTCAGAGGCCGCAGTTTCTGGACCCTGTTGACCGCGCCATCAACATGATGGTTAATGAGCTTGGTTTTAGCACGCAAGATGCTAAGTGGGCTCTGAAGATCACGGATACCGGTGAAGGAATTGACGCTGCCGCTGCTGTGCAGCTGCTTCAACGTCAGCGGGAAAAGAATGAGCGCAATCCCCTTGGTCAAGCTGATACCTTGCTGTCGGATAGTATCAAGCGTGAAAAGTCACGAGAGTCTGGCTGGCGCTGGGCTTGATTGTGCTTTGGTGACATCCTTTCTTTGTTTTTCTTGTCCTGTCTTCCTTTTCCCCTGGCGTCACTTGTCTATGATTCACTGCCACCACGGTCATGATGTGCTAGATACCCTTGCTATTTTTCTTTGAATTTCGAAATTTACATCATCTCACTCCAACCACTCTGGATTGTCGATATTAGGCCTCGTGATCCAGTCTCGAATTGTGCTTATTGCAGTGTGATTTAATTCTAATCTCGTCTTGTTAATTTCGGTATAAACCCTGTTTAGCGAAGAAATTGCATTCCTTGATGAACTACGATAGTAGAGGTGGCGAAGGCATTTAAAGCTGAAAGGGAGGTGAGAATTGGACATGGGTCTTCACTCGGCTGTTTTACATCCAAAAATTATATTGGCATCTCTAGAAATCCCAATAGTTGAAAAGTATTCTTTCTCAGGCCCATGGTAACAACTCCATAGAGAAGTCTATCAGGCTCAAGGTTGAATCAAACACCCAAATTTGCCTCAGCAGAGAAGGCAACAGCAATAATCTATCTTGGAGAAAAGGAGCTTGTGTATATATAAATACAAAAAAAAAAGGCTGGAGCAAAAGCATTAACTCGTCACATCGTCATGTCGGCACGGTTTATAGGGTGTTCTCTAATCAAACACCCGTCGGATCGTCGTCATCCGACTTGTCTCCGTCCTCACTGTCCTCGCCCCAGCCCTCTGCTTCGAGTGAACGACCGCGGATGCCGAAGCTCATGATGAATCCAATAAAGGAGACGGCACCAAAGACACCGAATGTCAGGGCCTCTCCCTTGGGCTGGATCTTGGCCGTGAGGGAGAAGAGTCCTCCGGAGAGGAATGGACCCACTGCACGTCCCGCTGCGGAGAGAGTCTGTGCAAGACCATTCAAAGCGCCGAGGACGGCATGGTTAGGTGCCGAATTTGTGACCTAGGAATGTTGTCAGTTTCAGGGGATTTCACGGAAAGACCATGTCGGAATGATGTACCAGAAGCAGAGCGCTGGTCAATCCACCCACGGAGGCAATGGTCTTGATCAGCAACACGAGGCAAAGTTCGATAGCCATGATGGCCGACTTGCCAGTCAGACCCTTGGTGGTCTTGCTCTTGTACCCAATGAAGGGCATCAATATAAATGAAACTACAAAGCCAAATAGGCCTGCGCGGTAAGACCAGCGATTGCCCATCTTGTCTCGCAGACGGTTGAAGATGCAGATCTGGAAAATGATCGTCACAATTCCAGCAAACCCTTGAGCGAGGCCGATCTCGGACGGGGTGAGCGACCGTCCGGCTGGGGGCTCAGCTTGCGCGAAAATTGGGAACAGCGAGTTGAAAGAAACGTTGCAAAACGCAAAGATTAGGTAGGTCAAAAGAAGAAGTAGTGTATCTCGAGTGAAGATCTCATCCCAAGAGAGTTCTTCGTGGTGGCCAGGGATGCTTGACACCTCAGACGCGGAGTCTAGATCACTGTCGTGATCCTCAGTCTCTAAATCGCGGCGGCTGTGAGGCACGGCTTGCGGGACTTCTAGATAGGTCGGATGGCGGGCGTTGCCGGTGAACTGCCACAGCCATGTGAAGAGGCTACGCACTTTTTTTCTGATCTTGGGAAGACTGTCTGCGTCTTCGAGGCTCTCTTCCAGGAACAGAGCTGTGAAAACGAAATCCATCAGAAGGACAACAGCGGACAGTATGTTTGGTGCGAGATAGGGGTACGGGTTTTGGTTTCCAGTAAAAGGGTTCGTATCAAAAACAAGGAGTCCTCCTAAGAGGGGTCCCGTTATACCTCCGATTCCGTATATTACTGGGAGGTAGGTAAAAGCCTGAGACTGGTTGCTTCGGTCGGTGATTTCTCCGAGGCAGGTGGACACCAAACCCTGGTTGCCATTCACCACACCCATCAACGCCTGCACAACTATAGCTTGCACAAGAGTCTTGCAAAATCCGAATGCAACGAAGCACAGCGCAGTCAGAAAGGTGCCAAGCAGGATCACCGGCTTGCGACCAACACGATCCGATAACCAGCCCCAAAAATAGTTGGTGCTGAATTGAGCCAGCGCGAAGGCCGATGCAATGCTGCCCACGTAAACACCCACCTGGGTCGGTTCTACTTCGGGGAATGTCGAAGCCATATCCGGGAGGTATGGACTGATTGAGTTCAACGCCGTTTGCTCCGCCAGTGCAATCATCGCAAGCACTGCCATTTGCCTTTTTGGCAGCGGCGATGACATCCCCGTGGTATCAACTATGTCATGGTGGGGATCGTGTGAGCCGTCAGCAGAGGACTCGGACTGGCCCGAGTTAGGTCGCCCGCGCGACTTGGGCGGTGGAGTATCGAAGGTCTGGTAATGCTGCGTGGAGGAGCGACGATTGAGCGAAGCCCGGTCTGGACCCGTCATTCTGGCGACACACCAACAAGATCAAGACTGAATGAAGCCTTGTCCCAACTAACCATACGATTGGGGTGGAGACGCAATGCGGTCGTTTGAGAGCTGGATGGCACGGTTGCAACCCGCGCTGGTTGAAGTTTTGCCCAGTCAATAGAAATAAGGTGTAAGTTCAAATCTAACTAGATGTTTCAGAAACAAAACGTGTCGAGAAGCTTAGGATGGTTGACGTTGACTGCAAAATACCGCCGGAACAGGGAACACAATGATGATGTAAGCGATGCCAACCTGTGCTGAGTCATTGTTCTAGCCGGACCTGGAGCCCTGGAGCCCTAAAAGCACTTGTGCAGTGGTGCATTTCTTTCTTGGGATTTATCTGTATGTTGCTAGTTCCTTATTTGGTCGAAGATTCATAGCCCTTGCATGTGTTGATCTTGTGTTAGCCTTCTTAGTGGCTGCGAGGCTTAACTGATCATTCCAAGCTAGGCAGACCATGGAGCTGGTAACTTGGTTTCCTTCAAAATCCGAAATCAAATCGCTATGATCTTAGGATCCTTGCGGCAAAAGGTGACAAAAAGTCTGGTATATGTCAAGACATTACGTTAAATGACTTTTCACTTGTTCACAGCTTAAGACTATGCAGGCATCATGCTGATATGTCTTGCAGGGTTGGTCGTAGGTCGTCAAAATACATAGCCAAGGGAGTTTACCACCTGGGTGCATAAATCCCGATGGCATACGTTCAGTGATCTTTGGCTTTTTGCACACTCAAGGGATTGAAGTATATCAACAGCCGAGTCATGCGACTGTAATCATATAGGCAAATCAGGCCGCTACTCCTAGTCGATTACATGAGAGCATTTAATCAGGCCCAAAAGATCGAAAAGACAACAAAAGCAATGCCGAGCCCTCTCAACGAAAATTTTGTTTCAGCATTTGAAGCAATTTACTGATAAGGATAATACTGTGCTAGTGTTTACAAGGAGGTTTGTGGGTCATATGTTAGAAGCAGAGACTCTCTCTGGTCATCATTTTTGCATTTTATTTAAGCCTCACGACAGCGGTGTCTGCACATTACAGGAGACATTTCCTAATGCAATGATCTCTAGACCGTAAGTGAAATCCTTGGTACATCGCCCTTTTTTCTCGGTTAACTAGCTACATGCAGCTTGCGGTATTGCCCGCACGGGTAAATTTAATAATATGTTCCTTACATGTCTACGGGCAAATGAACAGGTATTTCACCCTAGGATGTCTTAATGGGAATCGATCAATTTAAACACGGGATCAACCGCGGTAGGAGGCGAGCACTAGAAAGCAAGGGGAAAAGGTCTCAAGTGCCAGACAGTATCCTGTGCACTTGTGAATTAGTATTGCAGTCACACATATCGAGTCTGGAGTATATCGTGACACTTTCCAATCTTACAAATCGTTCATATTTGAAAATTGGCTCTCCTTGCCTTATCATGGATTATCACCCTGTACGAAGTACATAATACCACAACACCAATTAATGGTAGGCTGGGCGCCAAAAAGAGCCACCTTTGACGCCATTTCAAGCGTCCTACAGATAGATGTACGTGGGCACTTAATACCTACCATGAGGGTGGCCTTTTCGCCTGTACCCGAAACACTGTTAAGTCAGAGCTGTAGATCAAGACACGCGGCCAATTAAGCATTCATCGAGGATCGTGGTTTATGAACAAAAGTGCCTGGGTGGGCATCCTGCACAGAATGGCCTCCAGTTCACGGACGACTGGACAATACCCAAGAACGTGGAGCAAGCGGGCGAGTCCAACAACATCTCCTGCTGACCTATTTGGCTGCAGAATAATAGGGTATATACCTAGGTAGTATACACACAGCTGTTTTCCTCGGTCAATCCCTCTTTTTCCGTTTGACCCCAGAATTGGGCGGAAGGGAAGGTACCGAGAACGGCATCCCCTGCTCTTCTCCAGACCATGATATCGACATCCTCGGCATGATCCTTTAAACCCAGCTCCATCCGTTGTCCTTAGTTATGTATTGCCAAGTTTCGAATGCTGCCCGATCCTTGGCGGCGGCTATCAGCGTTCTGAGTTGATTCGGGTCTTCTTCAAAAGGCACACTTGTCTGAACACCTTTGCAATGTTCACACTACTCACCGACGTACCACGATGCCTACATGGCCATCTTGGTGTTTGGCCTTAAAGAATTACACAAATGATGGGAGATCTTTTGGAAAACAAATTACTGGATTTGAGAAAAACTGCCGAAATAAAGATTCATATAGCAATCACTTGTCAGAATAGGTGTTGATCCACTTTCCAATTCTATCATTCATCAACCAGCCAAGTGGCCGAGCAGCAACTCGACCATTACATCTTCCTTGGTCTAGTGGTGATGATTTCCGCTTGTCATTAACACCGATAAGCGCGGGAGACCGGGGTTCGATTCCCCGAGGGAGAGGTTTCTTTTTGCCTTTGTTTGGTCCGTCTTGCTATATGGGTCTCTTATTTTTTCGGCTCCTCACTTTTCGGTGGCTTAAGTTTCCTAAAAAAAAAATCAAAAAGAGATCGTTCAAACTGATCTGACGTGGTGAGAATGGCATTTGAACATAGCAGGCAAATCACC